TTAATATAGTAATTTATAACTATATTACTATATATATAACTATATAAAATAATAATAAGAATAATAAATTTAAATATTATTTTAATAGTATAAACCTTATCTATTTAAACTTAATCTTTTACTATTTATTTTAATCTTTTTTCTATTTAAATTAATAACTAAGATTAATTTAGCTATTATTAATTAGATTAATAGCTATAGTTTAGATTAATAAGTCTATTCTAGAGGAGTATATTAAAACTATAAATTATATAATCTAATATATTTAGTTAGAATTAAAATTAGTTTATTATAAATATAATTCCTTTTCTAAATTAGAAAAACCTTAAGTTTAAAAGAGAAGTATATAGTAATTTATATAATTATCTCCTTTAGAAGCCCTGGAGCTATATAACTCAACTGAATATAATAATATAATTCTGCCTAATCTACTATAAAGAATCCAACAGATTATATTAGGCTTTGCTTAAGTGCGGAATATGGTCTTGGATACGCGGACTAATTCCGACAGCATCAAAGGCCCCTGCAAATCAGTCGTGCCACTTTCCACTCACGCAGTTTCAAAGAAAATCACCGTGAGCACCGTCTTGAGGACTAAATGATCACGTAGGCCAGTGATTTAGCAGTCATGACTTCCTACTACTGTCAAATATGCAGCATGGACATGTCCATAGCGCGCATACGCACCCAGCACGAGCCGCCATCAGCGGCGTGGAACTTCCGCGGCCTCGATTACGTTGGGTTCTCCGCCTTTCGCACCTACGAGGGGGAGATTTTCCTAGATCAGCAATGCCAGGAATGCACAACGGCAGATCGTACTCCGGCCGATCTCGAGATCGCGCTGAATGGTGGTAGTCGCTGGCCGGATGAGATGGACGAGGATGATGCTGAGTGGCTGCCGAGCGACCACCAGGATATCAGCGACGAGCCTCTCGAATTCGAGTCAGACGCTGAGGAGTCCGACGGCGGTTCGCCAAGTACTACAAGCGATAGCAGGTGCAGCGAAGAGGGCGACGACGGCGATGCGAACGATCGATATCCTGTCCAAGAAATATTTGTTCCACCTTTCCCGAAACGCCTTCCGTATGGCACATGGCGCAGCCCACGCATGTACACCCGGGCCGAATGGGGAGACTACATGCCAAACCATTTTCAGAGGCTGGATTATAGTACCTTTAGAGCGCCGCCTGAACACATTGCTGCTCCATCATGTCGAAGCGTCCAAGGAGTCAATGGCAATGTGTTGAGTCATGCCGAAATGAAGGGCTGCCGCAACCACAGGTTCTTGTTAGCTAAACCTTTAGCAGCGAAACTTGAGGCCAGCGATCAGATTTTCGAGAAAGACAGCATATTCATTCTCACAGGTGAGGCGAACGGGTCAAAGGCAGGCATGGCTCGACCCGTCTACCCGCGGCGGCATGGCTTGCACATCCTGGAACTGAATACTGACTCTGCGAATTCCGGGTGTAATGTAAGCTACTTGATATATCTTGAGTTCGGGTCATTTTTTCTGACTGTAGCCTAGTATTCCGACATTTGGAGACCGCTCCCTGTCCATTCGTACTGCCTCGATGTGTTCGCCAAGGCATCTCACCGCCGCCTGGGACGAGTCGACTTGGACGCGATCTGGCAATGGCGGGAGATGCAATCCGATCCGGAGTCTTACGGGCTCAGTGCGGATGACGTATCGCCACACAGCGAGGTGGCACGAGGCCGGCGGCACTGGGGAGACCCGTGGTCTCACCACGCAGGAAGTGAATGGCTGGCTGCGAATCCGGTCGAGGTTCCAGGGCTGAATGATCTCCTGGAAAGTTGCCTTGGCATCAGCGTGCCGAGCGACACATCTCTACCTCCTCAAGCCCGTCTCCTGGCACTCCCAACCGAGATCATCCATCAGATTTTTTCCTTTCTTCCCGCCTCCGACCTCACTGCTGTGGCTTGGACCTGTCATACTCTGCGCTCTCAAACGCAGCCGCTCTTCAAAGTCTATGTAATAACGGACATGGATTGGCTCTGGGAGCTCATCGAGGGAGCGCAGTATCCAGCTTCGCCCAACTGGCCAGCGACATGGGATCCGTGTTTTCCACCCGGCCTGTCGATTCCAGAACTCCCGCTTGGTCTTGAGCCTGAGGAAGCTGAAAAAGAGCTTTGGGCGCAGATAATAGCCGATGATCCCGAGATGGAGGCCGTCGGGAGGACTGTAAATGCCCTCAATGATCTATGTCGTGAGGCGATTTATGGACCATATCGCGCTTCAAAGGAGGCATTGCTTCGTGGGTGGGAAGAATTCCGCGATAATGTCGAATCTTGGATCCGCCATCTGCCTGCTTCTAACACCCGAAGAGCAGAAGAAATCGATTGGGCGCGTGCGTGGCAATTGTTCCATCCTACGGCGACTTCACTGGCGGGAGTGCGAAACCGGGCACGAATCTGGCGTGATTGCAACCGCATCCTCGACTACAACGACCGCCTTCGCGAGCAAGATGAAATGGGGGTCAAGCACCAGATGATGCGCACGATTATTTCCAGTCGCGAGAGTGAAGAGTGGTGGGAACAGCACAATGAACAACTTTGCTACGAGGGCTTGTGCCCTCAGACCGATTCTTACAGTGGTGAAACGTTTCACACTGGGGATCCGGAGTGTCGTCGCGAATTTGAGCCTGGGGAAAAACCGCTCGGTAGATCCTCATACTAAGAAAGCAATGATGAGCGCATGTAGAAAGGGTATCATAGTAATGGACATTAGCCACAAAAGCTAGCTGCTAGAACGCTGAACGACTGATGGTCGAGATGTTGCTTTCCATTTGGACCTGCGCTCTACGAGTCTTGGATTCAGGAAATAGAGAACCAGATGAGACTCGGCAAGGCGTTCCAACCGCTCATATCAATGAGGCATGTCCAGCCTTGTGTTTCTACTTCTAGATCCGTCAAAACACAGATTTCATTCTCCATCGTGAAGCGCGGGCGGGTTTCTTCGCCTACTGCTTATCCGGCGACGCCTCTATCCAAAAACTCACGACTGAAAGGCTAATCAATGTAGCCTTTGTCTTGTCCAGGAGTATAGAATGTCGAGCGATCATACGGGTTGGCTTCCAGTCCATGACGGAGGCGGAACACCAAATCAGGTGTAGACACAAAATGGCGTCCGAATACAATCAGAGTGTCAGTATCCTTATACTCCTCATCTACAGCCTTCTTGGCCGTATCGAGTCCGAATCCTCCGGCCACAAGGATAGGGGATTGGTTGTTCCAGATATCAAATGCGAATTCCAGGCCCTCTACTTTCTCAATATCCTCCCAATTAGTTACTCGAGATTCGATAAGGTGTAGATAGGCAAGCTTCAACTCCTTCAAGCCCCGAACAATATGTGGGAACTGCTGCGTGGCCAGGGACTTTTCCATCTTCATAGACTGGAACGTGCTCCAGGGGCTCAGTCGAACTCCAACCTTTTCGCCTCCAATCGCTGAAGTAACAGCCTTGGCGATTTCGAGAATGAATCTAGATCGGTTTTCAATTGATCCACCCCAAGTATCATGTCTTCGATTACAAGTGTCCTGGGTGAATTGATCGATCAAGTATCCGTTTGCCCCATGGAGCTTGACTACATCAAATCCAGCCTTGATTGCGTTGAGCGCGGCATGCTCAAAGTCTGAGATGCAAGTCAGAATCTCAGCCTGTGTCATTTCCTTGGGGGTTTGGCCCCCCTCCTCTATTGGAACGGCACTTGAACTGTAGAGAGGATAGCCTTCCTTAGATCCTGCACGTCCAGGAGCACATAGTTGAACAAACATAAAACAGCCCTTGGCGTGAATAGCTTCGGTGATCTTCCTCCAACCCGTGACTTGATCTTCAGACCACAGGCCCGGGGCCTGAGGTCCACCACAATGTCGAGGCGAGATCTGTGTAGCCTCGGCAATGATAAGTGTTCCAGGCTCGCTTGCTCTCTGTGTATAGTACTCGAGCATGTTGGAGGTTGGGACATGTTCTTTATTGGCTCGGAAACGGGTCAAGGGTGCCATAACGATTCGGTGTTTTAGTTGCACCCCGCCTACAAGTGCTGGCTGGAAAATTTCGTTCTCACATTCATGTTGAAGAATATTGTCGTAATAAATGCTCGAATCAAAATTGAAAGGATGAGAGTTGCTGTATCATAGGGTGGGAAATAGAGGGATCTTAATAAGTGATGTGATCATCGGGAAATCAAACAGGATGTGGACCAAAGATTCCGTCCACTTGACAAATCCCGAATTATGACAAATTCAGAATGAATAATTCAATTTGTTTCGTCCGTCAAGGTACCACAAATGCCACCCACAAGATGCACGTACTCCCATGTCCTACTCCAAAACCAGTTTGAAGTCGGAAACGCCGACTTCTGAATCTTACCCCAAATGGTCCACTCCCCGGCTTCCCATTGACTCCAACTCTACCCCAACCCCGAGTTAACTCATGAATTGAAGATCAAGATAGTGTATCTGAAACTGTAGCATGGTATAGTTAGTCAGACGAAAATCTATTTAAGCCACAAGGCCATTGTGTCCAGATATAGTACTCGCTTATCAATTAACAGTACTACTTTGCTATTTCATCATCTGTTATGTCTTACTTGATGTAGGTAGTGCTAGATTATATCCAGTCGAGTAGCATTAAGAAATTCTTATTTCCTTCACTCCGAGGTCCGAAGTGGAAGAATGCGTTCCATGCATAATACCATGGATGTAGCACTCTCCCAGATGGATGTAATAGCCTGGAAGATCGACCCTTTCCCTGACGAGGAACGGCACGGCACTCCCATGTAGAATTACAACCTTGTCGAGCTTCTGTGCCTTCCCTGGCAGAATGCCTACGTATCCCTTCTTTGTTGTACAAGCCTTTGCATCTGCGAATCTTTCTGCAAATTCCAGCGCCGTTTGGAGATAGGGCCATAACAACTGCCTCAGTTCCTGGGGGTGAAAAAGGAAGTGTTTGATCTTCGCCATAGCACGGGCTTGCATGATCTCCATCTTCCAGTCCTTCCCCTGCTCCCCGAGCTGCAGGTATTCCGTAAAGGCTTGGTATGCCACGCGGAAGTTAACTGTGTCGCCATCTGGAGAAGTGGGTTCGATAGAGTCGCCAACTGGGATCTTCCACACGAGATCTTCGATCCTTTCCCCAGTGGGATAAGACTCCCGCTTTTGGACAAACCTCGACACCTCCTGCAAGTATTCGATGCGGTCACAGGTTTGGAAGGATTTCTCGCCCACCTCATCAACTACGTCGAGGATGTGACCCTTGGCAATTAAGACCATGTTGTCTCTCCCCGACCCGAGTTTGATTCGGCTATGGATGTGGGTACAGGCTGAAAACCCTTGCTGCCTACTCGGCCAAGTGGTTATAGTTCGTTGGGGTGTATTTGTGATCCAGTCCGGGATCCATGATGGGAAGCGAGGTGAGGAGAAACGCGCCCGATACAGCATCTCTATGGCGCATCCCCGCTCCACGAAGACTTTGGCGTACTTTTGGACCACTATTTCGAGTGTATCTGTATAATCGGGATCAAAATGTTTCTCGGCTGCATCGGAGGCCAGCCCAAGGAGCGCAAACAGCTTGTCCCGCGCTCGCGTCGCCTTGGCATACTGGAACTTTCGGAAAAGGGTGAGAAGTCGAGGCTGGTTCCTCTCCTCTCCTTCATGATAACTATGCCTCAGTTCCCCGAGGCGTAGGACGACTAACGCATTTTGGGCTATCTGTCTCGTTACGTTCGTGGTAGACTTCTGTGCCTCTCTGAAACATATTCTGGCCACAGAGTGAATACCATCCCACGACATCGATTCGTTTTTGCCAGCCATTACCTTGACATCTGACGCAAAAACAAGTTCCTGAATTATCCAAACTCTCTGGAACCAAGGGCGCTTGAAGAACTTGTTGATCGAGTCCCATGTCTCACTATCATCTGCGATAGTTGCTGCACCGGAACCTTGAGCTTCCACACTGATCAGCTCTCGAAAGTATTTAAAGACATGGCTATCTTCGTTCATTTCCTCTCCAACCCAGACAATCACTTGAGTGGCTCTTTGGAAGATTTCCGGCATGAGTCGTATTTGTGCACTCTTCTCCTTCCCTCCATCTTTTTCATCACTTTGGTCTATGCAAATTGCATCTACCCAGAGCTGTACCGATTGCTTTGGTTTTCGGAGGCGTTTGAGTGCAAAATAGAGGGAAGCCGTGATCCCTATAACCCTTCCCTGAACCCTCACAACAAAAGGTTTGATGGAGTAGCCCCATGCGTAGGACAACGCCTGGAAGGGCGGGATGGTAGGGTCTAAATTAAATTCATTTAAACTTCCCTCCAATTCGTCAATCTCGCGGCCTGGCTTGAGCTCAAGCAATCGTATGTTGCCGCGCTTCAATGAACAATAGTTATACTTCTCATGAGATGGAAGTTTTGGGTTGATCGCACCGCCGTCAAATAGATATGTATATAGGAACCTGCTAAACGGTGACATGGAGTTTTCAAGCCTTTGTCGATATAGGAACTCCGGCACGTTGATGTCCGCGAAATCACTGAATTTAATCTCAGGCTCAGGCTGTTCGATCTTAGCTACATAAGAATCCATTTTAGGTTGTATTTTCATTTGGCCCGAGGCATACATCTTCCATGGGTCAATGTAGAAACAAGCATGGGCGTTCTTGAACAGATCAGAAACCCGAGCGAGTATAAAGACTTCCTTGGGTGGGCTTGCAGATCGTTCAGAGATCATGCACTCTCGGGCCTATTGGGTTAGAGACAGTGTTGCGAATCTGACAAGCTAGGTGTGGGAAGAAACTCACCATCTTGAGAGTAGCTGCGCTCATAATGAAGGGCGATTCTTGTTCGCCCACCGTAGTGTGCACTTGGATGTAGTAAACTGGGTTCGATTCCTCCCACTTTTCAGCCTCTGGAATAAATGCCTGAATGAGCAAGTCTGTCATGGCAGGAATGTTCTTGAGCGTGAAAGAAGTCATTGGATCGGTCGATGGCTCGAACTTCTTGTAGCCTGCCCTATTGCGTAAGGGGCTAGTCCAGCTTCTTTCGGGGTCATAACCCCATCCAAAGTGCTGCTCAAGTAGCTTTGAGACCTGTAGAAAGTTTGGAAATTAGCTAGGGTTAGGAAGATCTAGCGCTAGGTTCAGAGACATCATACAAATAGTTCCCCAACGAATTCCACGTCGGGGTCGCTTCGCGTCTCCGGACTTGTTGCAATGACAACAGTGCACGCCCCCGAGTGAGAGATTTTTGCTCTCGCAGGTAAAATGTTCTGGCTAGATGCGCTTTGTGAGAAATCTTCAAGTGGCAGATCTTCCTGGCTCGGCACAAACACTACAGTGGGCGCGCCGATTATTCGAGGACGTCCAAGCACTGTCAAGGAGGTATGACTGGTTGAACCCTTGTCACCAGATGCCGGCTTTGCTCTGCTTGAAGACAAACTCGTCGCCAATGGAGCGTTAAGATGACTACTGAGCGTAGTATAGTCAGGACGAGGCGTGGTTGACGGCATGTCAAGGGGGTTGTATGTATGAGTATTTGCACTCCCACTGTCAAGGGCAACTCCTGTCTGGGCCTGTAGGGCGTTGTTAGAGTGGTGGAAGAGGGTCTTTTGAGCGTCATCTGTGCCATCCACGACAGCTTTTGCCTTCTCAACGACCTCGCCATTCACTTGTCTTCCCGGATCTTTGGAAGCGTTGTTCTTCGACCCGCTCTCTCCAATTTCGATCTGCCAGGAAGTCGCCATCCCAAGATCAATTTCTGCTCCCGCCCCGTCAAAGTCGGCATCCTCTATGTCATCAATGGCTAGGATGCCTTGCCGATCTAAGCAGTCTTCAATATAGGAAAGGTCGTTCTGGCTAAAGATGAAATACACGAGGTTTTCTTGATCCTCAATGCCGCAAATGGCAGCGAAGCGGCGTGTGAAATCCAGTGGCAGGTGAGAATTGCTACCCGCCTCCAGGTATACCTGGATTCCGTTCTCGCCTTTTGGCGGTAGTACTGCAGCTTGGATCCCATCATCGTAGTGATGGCCCTTGGTGACGTGGCTTGTCCAGCGACCTGCTGCAGGCTCAAGAGTCCACTGAAGTAATACCTTTTCCGCAACGAATACTTTTAGATTATCCAACGCGGTTATTATATCACCTCTGCTTGACATAGATCTCGGTAGCAGTCTAATTCGTAGTGGTCAGTTTAGTTTCAGATAGAGCTCGTAATATGGGTTATGTTTAAAGGGATCGTCTGAAATCGACAATAAAAGAAGACGCGTATATGGTATGCGTGAGAGTAGTTTCTCTTCTCTAGACAAACTCACCGGGCGATGAACTTTGACTTTGCACGAAATATATTCGTATGCTCTTCGTGAATCAGGACATTTCCCTCTGTTATAAGATTTGACTTGGTGAGTTTAGAAAGTAGCCTGAATTCAAAACCTAATGCCTTGATCAGAGGCATCATTCTGAGAGCATCCCGTGGAGAGAATGACAGCAACGCCACAACACCTCGAAAACTGTCACGAAGGTGAGCTCGATCAGCAATGTACCACTCTGAGTCATCCAATCCAGAATCAGAGTGTCAAAACTTGTCTCTGTGCCCCCCTCGTCAATCGGGAATATCTTGGCCGCACGTAGACGATAGACCAAATTTCCATTTATTTGAGGAGTGTGCTCTCTAATCTCACTAAAGAGCTTTGTGATGAGTTTCAAGGGATAATCTGCTGTGATTGCTTCGACTTCGGACACAAGGACTTCAATGTCTACGTCTTTGTGTGTGAGAATCTTCGTGAAGAGCAGCTCGCATTCAGGATATATCCTCTTGAGCGTATGGAACCTACGGAGGAATTTTCCCCCGTCCCAGACACACTCGGACTGTGGTACCCAATGCCCTGCGGTACCTTGGGCGGTGCCGGGAATGTAAATGCATTCTTCCGAAGAGAGCATCCTATGCTTTGTTATTCAATGCGTGGATGGTGGCGACCACAATACTTACGTCAAATTACCTGGCTCCTTACCATCCTTCTCTTGAATTTGGCCATACAACCATGAGATGAACTTCAGAGATACCACTGAGCCCCGGACTTTTTTCAATGTTTCGAGATACACGGCGACACTTTCCTTCATGGTCACGCCAAGTTTCTCCAGGAACGCCCAATCTGCGCTCTGAGATTCTGGAATCTCGAGCAATGGATGCAGAGACAGTATTGCTGCATCCGTACCACTCGGCAGAAAGTTGATGGTGAAAGTATTGTGGAGCGGGTAGGTGAGTCCATCACGACATTTGACCTTCGCAGATCCTATCTGATCGCGCAAGGCGGTGCTATGTGTATATCCTAACACCTTATCAGCCCCGTTTTGACGTGACTCAATAATTTGAATTTGACCGTCCAAGAAGCGTACGTAGCTGCTCCATTCGTCTTTGAGAAGCATTAGGAACTCCTTTGACGTCCAAGAGTCCAGAATCTGCCGAAAATCCGATGACAGCATGGCTGGATCTGAACCATCAACGAGTCGGGGCACCTCCCATAAGCCAAGTTGCCTACCGAGCCAAGTAAGCCAAGTTTGTCTTTCTTCTGGCTTCACTGCATCATAATAGTCCAGGTGCAAGAAATGATGCTCTTTGCGGAACCGCTTATACCATTCTCTGGTGGAAGACTGTTGGGCGGTATCAAGGTAGACCTGCTGGGCTGGCATGTACTGCCCGACTTCGGTGAAGACCCAAAATTTGTCCCCGTGTGACTCAGGTTTCTTCCACTTCGCGCGGAACAAAAAGACCGTATGCGATATCAAGACATGACCAGCAGGTAGCTGTGCTTGGCTGGATTCTGAGCATTCCCGATAGGTTAATTCTGCGAGCTTCGGAACAAGTCTAGAGGTATCTTGCACTCCTATTCTCTCGTGGAGCCATTTCAGCCAACGCTCCTTTTCTTCCGTCTTCACTGCAGAGTAGTATTTCCTATGCAAAAATTGGCATCTCTGTCGAAAATCGTCAAAGTATTTGCCAAAGGACTGTTGCGTGGATGTATCAATGTACACATCCTTTGCCCGGACATACGCCCCTGCTTCAGTGACTACATAAAATGGTGGAGGCGGATCATTTGAAACCCATTCAGTCTGGAAGAGGAAGTTTGCATGCGATACAATGAGGTCTTGGGCAGGTAGATCTGTAGGGTCGGCTTTGGAGTGTTTCTCAACAACCAATTTCTGAAGCTTTGGCGTCATTTGTGAGACATTTTGCACTCCCAATTCCTTGCAAAGCCAACTAATCCAATCCCCCGTCTCTTCTGGCTTTACTGCCGAATCATAGTCCTCATGTAAGAAGGGAAACTTTCGCCGGAACTCGGTAAAGCACGGGTGGGTGTAGTATGCCCACTCACCCTTGAGATAGACTTTATGGGCGTGCCGGTATTCCCCCGTCGTAGTTACAACCCATAACGGGCCAAGTGTTCTCGAAGAGGGTCCGGATTGCCATCTCGAACGAAAGAGAGACACAGCGTGCGACACCAAGACATGTGCAGCTGGCAGCAGTGAGCGCTTAGTCTCGGAGTGTTTCTTCAGGATCAAGCTTTGAATTCTTGTGTTAGATAGCTCGACGATGTCAAGCATCTTGAAGAGGGCTTTACGATCATCATTCTGTGCCGCGTTTTGATCAACGAAGGATACCCCAAGATCACCGAGGGCAGTATGATTCTCGCTGTTGCGGAAAAATATGTTCTCTGTTGAGGCTGATACCCATCCCCCGCCATTTACCGGAATCAAAGGTAGCTCTTTGATCTTGTTCTTATCTCGGTAAAACCCCATCAAGACTTTTGCGATCTGCACATGCCACAGCTCGGGTTTCTCGGCAGCACAGTTGCCTTGTGAGAGGAGTTGGTGAAGATCGCCCAAGAAGTCCTCATCCGACAGCTTTTGGACATTAAGATTTTCGAGAAACTTCCAATCCGAATCGCAATATTGTTTCGACACGTACCTTGACTCAGTTAATGGACCAAGCGTCAGTGGTGTATGGTCCTGATCTCGCAGCAGGGGTGGCACGTAACGCGCCAACAGCGGCATAATCATCTCCCCTTTGGCGGTCTCAACGATGGGGATTTCCTGAAGCCTCTGCCTCATATCATAGCCAAGGGCCCAAAAGAAGCCGGAAAGGTAATGGGGGGTAGAGATGTATCGTAGCCAAGTGTGTCGTAAAGGCCCGACGCTCAGATGCTTCAACGCTCCCTGAAACGCATCCCAAATGGAGGTTCGAAGTGTCTCGTTCCACTTGGACGAGGCATCTACGTCCTGGCGACTAGCAACGAGTAAGAAATCCGCGTTAACTAAGAACTGCGTTCAAATTAGCATGCAGCCTATTTTTGCCACGTGAGTGCCCAGGCTTACCTTGAATCCGTAGTCTTTTATGGGATGAACAGCATACGTATCTTGCTGTTCAACTACAGGCTCATGATTGGCCTCCCCTCTGACCGGAAAAGCTAGCACAATTGTAGTTTCCGTGTGATGTTCGCGTTTTGGCTCCGGAGGCAGTGTCTTTACAATATGCGGATAAATCCAGTACTCCAAAGTCTGGCTATCGTGACTTGATGTGATAATACGGCGGTGTCCTGTAGCAGAGTCTTTGTCTTCTCGATGAAGCTTAGTTTCCCAGGTTTTGCCCTGGTTATCATCAATGGTGATATTGATTTGCCTCAACCTCCTCAGGAAGACTAGATGCTTATGCCCCAGGGCCTTTAACTCTTTGATCAGTTCGTCTTGCTTGCGTTCTTCTTGTATCTGTAGTAGAATCGAGGTGAAGCCAGGACGCCTTTTAGCAGCGTTGACTACCCACTCGGGAGTTATTGTGCCCAATGCCCGCTTCGCATCAAATGCAAATGAGTAATGACCAGAGAGCACCTGTGCATGGCGGGACATCTTGAAGACGGATTTGAAGCCGATCCCCTTCTCACCAGTTTGGTTCATGGATTTTAACTTTGTGCTCGAAATGCTACACAGCGCCTCTACATCGTGCCTCGTGAAGCCAACTTCATTGTAGTCGATACGGAGGCGACCGTTCCGGTAGGTGAGCTCCATGGTTGGAGTCGGGTCATCGTAAGAACAATCGTCGGCGTTTTGCAATATCTCCATCAGAAAACGGCTTGAGTTCTGATAGAGCTCCTCGGATATGCTATGTCACGTTTGGGTAAGAGATCATTATCAAAATGCAGTGCAGTGCATACGGCAGAGAAAAGGGGAGAAGAAAGGAAAGAGGCCAGCTACATGGAAAGAGATTTATCCAGGGCATGGACAATGCTGCCTGCAACACCTGGCTCAGCATCAAATCCATTTGCCTTTCTGATTGCTTTGATATGATCCTCAGCGGCTTCGGGTGTCTCCGGTCGTGCCATAACAGCAGCGTTTAGCTCTGTGTAACAAATTGTGCTTCTGGTGGCCACCAAGAAGATGTATGATATGCGATAGAAAAAGGGAAAGAAATCGTTTTTCTTTTTGCCCACCGGTTGCTGCCCGATGGAGAGTCAGGCTTTTTAGCCAATATAGTGAGGCTTAGTCAAAACGCCCTGACAGTTGCATTTTCAGGTGTGTCTCATCCAATTAGCTACCAAAACTAGCAGAGGCGCAGCACACATCAGCTCATCTGCAAATGTGCAAACATGCACGTCGACGTGGCTAAGCCCCTTGCATGCGGAGTGGGTTGACTATCTATCAACTCTGATAAAGTTAGCAGAGAGTCAATCATAGTGGGCCAAATTAGCTTGCAGCACACACATCTAGGGTTTCATTTCCTTACCATCCTAGACAAATATATTACTGAGGGCATAGAACTCTTCGAGAATTATCATATAGAGACATTCCTAATTAATAATTTCGCAACAAGTCTGTAAGTAATACTAAATATTAAATGTAGCCCTCAGATCGCAACTGCGATGGGATAGCCAGGACTAATCTAAGCGAAACGTAGTGGCCTGCTCAGATCTTTGCAACGGTTCTGAAGAAATGTTACAGGAAGTAACCCGTTTGGAAGCGAGCTGTAGTGCCATTGTGATCCAAGTTATCTCCTTGTATCACGTCGTTAATGTCGCACTATATAGATAATTGACGGTAAAACTTCCTTTGGCATGGCTTTTATGGCTGTTTTCTCGAACAGGGGGCATGTTCGACTTGGCCACGCCATTCATCGTCGGGGGCCTCGTTCGTCAATGTGTTTGTTCTCAGAGAGTTCCGGCAGCTCCGAGAGGTTGAGCTTGTTCTACTGAAGTCTTTAACTAAAATTATAGTTTAATTAAAGAGTTTTGAGTGAATGTTTCATTGGAAACATATTGAGATGAAAAAAGACAGCAGGGTTTCTTTACCCGAACTAATCCTGACTTGGTTCCATTGTCCGAGCTAATCCGGATTTGGTTCCAAGCTACGAACCTTCACAATCTCCCGAAATCATCGATACCCTGTATAAGCTGATGATATTCAAGCCGTATATCACGGGCTGATTATTCATGGTACTGTAAGGTATTTTCGAAAGACTAGGACAATTCCGTGACGCCCGTATACACATGTCCGAGAATGTGGCTGCCTAAATGTGTATTTCCGAATGGTATTTCCATATCTCCTCATCGTTGATAGTTATATAAGGGCTGCGACATTCCATTTGGCACCCTTAAACCGCATCATCAAAGTCAATTCGTGCAAAAGTAACAAAACAGTGTCAAAGCTGTACAACATTTGGATTTGCCCGAAACATTTATCTTCTTTCAAGCCCATAAGGCACCTTGCATCATGGTTTCTCTCACCGAAGGCCAGAAGGCTGCTTTGAGTCCCGAGGCAATCACATTTCTCGAGCACGTTCACCATCTACCCTTCGCAGGCCTTCTTTCGAGCTTTCTCACCATGCCAAACCGCGTTCCAAGTCTTCGCCAAGGGGTAGAAGTGAAAATGGCACCTGGAGAAGCAGACTTGATCGCCAAGCATGGGCTCCAGCTCAAGGAAATTATCATTGCCAATGTCCCAGTGGTGGTCATTGAACCACCCGTCATTCATCCCGAAAAAGAGAGCAAGATTCTATTCAACATCTTTGGGGGTGCATTCATCATGGGCAGCCCTCGAGATCGTGCTGCCCTGACTATGGCGGCGGAACTCGGCATCCGTGTCTACTCGGTAAACTACACCAGCTGTTGACTTGAGTGGCGCTGGTGACTCTATGGTTTTCAATGCCCGTGATCGAGACATCATGCCGTACAGCCTCCTCTACAGCATGGTGGCACAGAATTATTTTGAGGAGGGAGTGGACTTAAAGGACCCTTTGGTATCCCCAATTTATGCTTCTTATGATACATGGTTCCCACGAACCGTGATAACGGTAGGAACTCGCGACTTTGCTCTTAGCAATGGTATCCGGTTTCACTGGAAGCTAAGGGAGGCTGGTGTTGAAACAGAGTTGCTGGTGTCCGAGGGGATGTGGCATGGGTTCGTTTGGGACCCCGTTGTACCGGAAGCTCAAACTGCTCGGGCTGCCGTGATCAAATTCATGCAAAATAAGAACTGGTCCAGAAAGCTTTGGCTACTATTTACATTTAGTTGTACGGTTTCTTCCATATGAACAACCTTATTTCCATAGAGCAGTGTAGCTATAATCACATTCTTTACTACGGTGCCAAAAAGACAACAGCCAACATTCTCATGCTTATTTAGCCCGTCATGGTATGCGTCTTACAACGCTTCTCACAACTTCACAACTCTTAAACAAAGTCCTGTTAACCAGGCGCACATTGTGCATGAAACATCCTAAACTGACTTGTCCTTGTCAATTGCGTACTGGCCAGTGACATGGCGAATCTTCTTGCCCCAAAAGTAGACTGGAACACCAAGCAAACCGAAAATTCCAGTGAGAGCGGCGAAAATGCCAAATGCACCCTCATACCCCTGGCTTTCAATGAAAGGAGTGATTCCATAACTCACACCGAATGAGATGATTCCACGGAATGCGCAGATGATAATCAGCAAAGGACTAGCTCGTTGAGGGTAACTGTCCAAAAGGTACGTAATGGCGACAATGTTGGCCCCTATGAAGGTGAAATAATAAGCCGCAACGGCCCAGACGTATGTAAACCAGTGATAATCCTGAGGCCTTGAAGCTCCCTGTCCGTATAGAACAGCAGTAAAGACACCCACGATGATGGGGAAGATGAGCGGCAAGATGCGAACCTCTGGCTCGTGAATACCATTACGCTTCTTAGCGAACCACTTGATGAGTTTATCTGAGCCCGCCCCAAATACTGGAAGCGCAATGAGAGAGGTGACGATTGTTCCGCAATTGACATAACTCGCCGATGACTGTGGCCAGTTGTAGGGAGGAGACGTAACAATCGTTCCGTATGTTGTTCCAATAGCAACATTAACGCCCAGCGTGAGGCCATTTAAACAAAGGGCCCAAAGAACGTTGGGAAAGAGGAGGAGTCCAAAAGATTGCTGCGGCATGGGTCAGTGTTCCTTTCGACAATGCGTGTTAAGAGATACCAGAGATAATACTCACCACCAATGTATCGAATCCCTTACGCCACTCGGGCTTCCCAACCCAAAGGCGTAGGTTGGATCGCCAAGTTCGAGGCTCAAACCTCACAGTGTCGATAGCTGGTCTTTCAGTGCTGATATCAAAGTACTTTCCGGCACTGATTTCCGAATCTTTGTTGTCTTCATCTTTTCCTAGCCCAGAAGATTCCTGGTAGGAAGATGCTGGACGGTAATACTTCGTCTCTGGGACGAAGAAAATCCCCAATATTAACACCAACCCAGAAAGACATGCCCCAAGGCCATACCACCACGTAGGTGTTATTGCACCAGCGATCGGGCTTGCAAAAAGAACCAGTACAGCTGTAGCAATCGTTTGGACGGCTTGTTGGATCATAAGAAAATTGGCCCGTTCGTGGAGGAAGCATATCTCCTATCATGATGGTAAGAACCGTAATCAATATCAAAGATGTTGGAGTTTACCAGCTTACTTGTGTTATCATAGGAACAAGCGCCTCACTCTGCCCAGCGGCAATGCCTAGAAGCATCCGAGCCCCGCGATGGAAGTCGAAGTTGTCGGCAACTGCACACATGCAGGCACTAACAAGCATGATGATGGAGGCAGCAAGCAACACGGAGCGTCGGCCGACCGCAATGGCCAATGGCATTCCAATGAGGTTTCCCAATCCCCTAAGATGGTTTGTTAATTAGTGAGCTTGATATTTCTCCAACGACGTCACGCACATTGTGAGAGTGGGATAAGTTAAGAGACTGCTAATGTCTGCATAAGTCTTTCCCACTACGCTGTAGTCAGGGATATAAAAGCCAAGGAGGCCGCCAAAACCTGAAACGAGGGACAGGCCGATTGTCGAGACTATACCAAGCAAAGCTTCAGTAGGTACTTCAATTTTGTTTTCAAGAATGGATGAAACTTACAAAGCGAGATGATCACGATAACCATTCCTTTCTGCCATTGGCTCATATTCAACGGGTCTGAGATGTAGCTGATCAGTGTCCAATTTCCCCATGGATGTATTTGGAGCTGTTCTTTTTTACCTTGAGGGTCAGAAGTCGGCGTTGGAATATAGACAGTCTTGCCTGCGGTAAGTTGGACCGTTCCGCTCACATTGAGTTTAGATTTTGTGATTTCGATTTCGTCATGATTCGACTCAACGTCAACATCTACATCCTCAACGTGGTCAGGGATCGGTAGCTTGCTCATCGTATCTGGTTTGTCCGCCATGGTTGATGTTACCGAGGGTATGATGGCAATCAAGGGAGCCTGTCCGGCAGTGGGATAGAAGGAAGAGTCGCTGATATTATGTTTTGTCTGCTGGGTGTATAGTAGGAGGCGTTTTTGGAGCGCATGGAAGACAATATATGCGTAGATTACGAGGTCGAGACCATCCTCCACCCTTCCGACAATGCATGGGTCGGTCAAACCCCCAACTGTACTGGCACTGATTGCATCTTCCCTTAGCTTCTTTTGACCCCTCAATTTCGGGAAAGCTGAAGCTCTTTGCTGGTGCACTAGCACTAATTTCCCCAGACGGATCGGCATGGCGTAGTGCTGGACTGGTACACCGAAGGGGCAGTCTTCTCCGCATTCCGGTTCGGTTGACATCTTCCCAGGGTCATCACCCCAACTAATGATGTGGAAAAAAAAAAGAACTACAGTCCTGGAACGAATGCTATCAAAGGGCTAACGATACAAGCCTGAAAATTCGCTGCATGCTCGCAAAGCACAACTAGCTTTGTCTAAGCCACCCCGTTACATCACAAAGAGAGGAGATGACGTCTTTCACCATTGGATTGACAACAAATCATGGTCACTAATAATAAAAGCGAAATCAAAGCAAAAGTTCATCAATGATCAGAGGATAAGTGAGGGGGGAAATAAATGCTCCATATGATTAAAGCGTAGGTAGAGCAATGAGCATCAGAATTATGTCTCCGTTCTCCCAACGTTTGCTTGGATCAATAACGTCGCATTCATCTTCTCCACTACTTAAATTTTATCTTCACTAGATACATACTATGACTTATGTCCTGACAAAGCCATCTCATTGCTGAAAGATCCAGGTCTTTGAGTTCCGAACCAATATCCATGTTCCACCTGGCTTAGTACTCCTTTACTCCAGCCAGACGAAGAACCTGATCCGTGACAATAGGCTTCTCAAAAGGTTCCGTTCTGTACTTGGGACAAACCTTTCCATTTCTCATTGGTTTATCTTCAGATGGGCGGATATTGCTGTTATCCCAGTGGTTAGTTACGTGCATTTAAACAGCAACAACGGGTAGGTCAAACACACCAATGAGGCCAATGAGTTGTGCCAAGATAATTCTCAAAGCAGTATTTTTTGGCTTTGAGCGCCTCTTCGTCCGCGAACTTGCGGGGGGTCATGCAAATGTACTGCACATGTCTGATTTGGTCTCCCTCGGGGAGTCGTGCGTAATGCATAGTACGCGAGTCCCAGAGAACGAAATCGCCAGGGTCAAGGTTGACCTTGAACAGCTCACAGCCGCGGTCTTCAAACCACTTGACATCCTTTTCGCTGAAAATGAAGAGATCCATGTACTTAATCTCCGGAGGAGGAGCATCTTCATGATCCGCTGACTCGCGCTTGTGGGCGAAGAACTCGTTGAAGAGCTTGGAAGATCCCTTCATTAGCATCAGGCCACCATCTTTAGGTCCATTAGGGGCGAAGTTGAGCAGGCCTTGAACGGCTTGCATCCTGAGGGTACTCAAATTAGCGATCCCTTAACTCATTGATCTCTTCAGAGGTGCGGACTCACCCTTTGCGCTCAGGGTTCTGATCGCAGTGAGGCCAGGGGCTCCACGAGATATCTTTGCGCTTCATGGAGACATTGATCCCGTCGAAGGATGAAATGAGCTCCTCAGTACCCCAGAGCTTGGCGAACGTCTCCACGACCTTTGGCTCGGTTCGCGCTTCCCAAGCCATCTTTTCGTGCGTCGCCCCGTACCCGAAGTACATGCCGCCCTTGAAGCTGATTGGAAGATGGTCTTCATTCCAGGTCTCGGGGTTCTTCTCATCGAACCCGAGGTCAAAGTTCTTCAACCACTCAATTTGCTTGTCGCAGTAGTATTGGGCACGCTCTGGGCTGATGACGTTCTTGATTACAACGCAACCGTTCTTATGGAACTCATCGCGCCAGTCACCGTAGACTGTGTTCTCATCAAAGGAAACCAGATCCTTGGTCTCGAAACGAGCCGCGAAGGTGCGGTCACTCTTGGTTTCTGTTTGGGTCGCGGTAGACATTGTATTTCTCTGAGCCTTTTGCGTGTTGGCTGTTTGAATTGAAGCAAACGGTGTAGAAAAAATGCACTTTATCTTCTTTTCTTTATGCGTGTCGTCTATTGGTTCAGCAGATAGCAAGGATAAGTTTTCATCATATATCTGCCTTGAAGAGTATATAGTCATATGTAAGAATTGAATCACCGGCGAAGATCGCTTGGAGATCGTTCGTTTCGGGCAACCTCGGTTCGGGAGAACAACCGCATGAAGCCTCGTGGCCTCAATCGATTTTCGGTTCAGGATATTCATCGCCGAAACGCAAAATGTTCGGATCGGTTCGTCAATTTCTAACTAACCTCAAAGCTACAGATTAACGGAACCGAAATCAAATCCCGAGCTCCTCCCCTAGACAACTTACTGGATACACTGCGAGAAGAGGATTTCAAACAACTGCGTCGCCTCTGTAAAAGACGCTGGTGTTGCTCGCTGTTGAATGGTACAGTATTACCCAAACTCTTCACTTGTTCCCATTTCAACAGTATCCCTAAGATACGAAATTCACAATGCCTATTCCATATCAAGTCGCCTTCAAGCCATTGACAGGACCAGAAGTCGGGGTCAATGGCTATGTTGAACCTACCCCAGGCAAGTCAGAGATCCTGAAGAAGGGGTCTGCACCATTCAATGCGCGGAAACTTGATTCCGATATCCGCCTTGATCACGACATTGAGATCAAAGTACGAGATGGCTGTCGACTCTACGCGGACATTTATCGTCCGACAGGTGATGAGAAGGTCCCTGTCATAATTTCTTGGTCACCTTACGGCAAGAAGTACTCCGCTCTTGACATGATATTCAACGTGTGTGTTTGGTCATGCTGCCTCACACGCGAAGACGTCAGTGGCCTAGAGAAGTTCGAGGGACTTGATCCTGCTTGGTGGGTAGCGCAGGGCTACGCTATTGCCAGCATCGACTGTCGTGGTGCTGGCAATAGTGATGGCGACACTCCCTGCATGGGCTCTCAAGAGGCCGAAGATGCACACGACGTCATAGAGCATCTGGCCAAGTTAGACTGGTGCAACGGAAATGTTGGAATGGCTGGCAATTCCTACCTTGCTATCATGCAGTGGCATGCAGCTGCCCAGCAGCCTCCGTCCTTGAAAGCCATCGCGCCATGGGAAGGCTCAAGCGATATTTTCAGAGAACAATTTTGCCGTGGAGGCTGGTTTAACATGAGCAACTATGACCTTATCACATCACTTGTGATAAAGGGCCAGCATGGTGTTGAGGACTTCTCTGAAATGTACCGCCGCCATCCTCAAGCAAGCGTTTATTGGAACGACAAACGTGTCGACATGAGCAAGATTGAGATACCCTGCTTCATTACAGGCTCCGATTATAGCCAGATTCACACTATGGGCGCGATCCGAGGATGGTTAGAGACCAAATCGGAGAAGAAATGGATCAAATGGAGCGGATACCAAGAATGGTACGAGTTGTATGCGGTGCCAGAGAGCTATAAAGAACTCAAGGTAAGCCGGGAACATATTTACCAGCCAAGTATATGAATGCTAACGACCAGTAGGAATTCTTTGACCGATATCTCAAGGGTATCGATAACAATTGGGAGGCAACCCCTAAGGTTCGCTGGGCAACTCTTCCGTTTGGAGACAGCCCCGTGAAGCATGATATTGTGCTTCCCGACTTCCCTGTGCCCAATACCGATTATCGAACATTCTACCTTGGACCAAAATCAACCTTATTGAAAACTGTACCAGAATCTGAAGGTACATCCACTCATAACTCAGAGGATCGATGGTCAATATCCAAGTTCAGACACACCTTTGACAAAGCATCTCGACTTATCGGACTCCCCAAAGCAGAACTCTTCATGAGCTGTGATGCATTGGATGACCTGGTTGTGTTCGTCCAACTACGGAAGCTTGACAAAGCAGGAAAAGAATTGAGCCAGCTCCAATTTCCATTGAGTCGAGCCCCCGTGAACTCCCTCTCCGAAATGTCAGAGAACGAACGTTCAAGCTTGACTTTGCACAACGGCTCGATAGGAATCTTACGTGCTTCTCAGCGCAAGATTGATCCAGCACTTTCTATGCACCCTCAATATCCATTCCATCCCCATGATGAGGTACAAAAGGTTCCCAATGGTGAGGTTGTGAAGCTAGAGATCGGCATCTGGGCAATGGGCGTTGATTATGAAGAAGGGGAAAGCATTCAAGTGGATATTTTGGGCCAGTTCCCCGGCTATACCACTCAGACGGACGCATTCTCTAAGCCAAGGCCCGAGTACGAAAAGAATAAGGGTCAGCATGTCGTTCACTTTGGTGGAAAGTATCCTAGTAAGGTGATTCTGCCTTTCGTGCCGATCTCGAGCTAGGTTTCTAAACGCGCTCAAGTCTGCCTAGAATGTAGAGGCAGTCATATACAAAATTTGCCAATAGTTTACACATCAGATAATACAATATCAAGACTCGGTGGTTGATAGCTTCTATTATCCAACCGAAAACCATACTCTGTCTACATTGTATTGATGCATTCGTACAAAACCCGTCACTAATACCACTTGACCTCCTGAAAGTGAAGAACTACGGTAGCAACCTGCCTCGCATTCGCCCTCAGGTATAATGAAAGAGGGGAGATCAGTTCATAATTACTGCGGCATCACCTTTCCAACTTTTGAACTAAACTACTTCCGAAAACCTCTTTATTGATGTTTCCGGCACCGGAAGACACAACCGTGCTACGTTTGTGCCCCGCAACATCCTTCGGTTCGGCAAATACACCTCCAAGCGTCTTTTTTCGGTTCGGAATCATTCTCCAGCTTCCCTTCAACACCCCAGAAGACCGGCTTTGCAGACAGTCAGTTACCAATTGGAAGAGTACTGCACAACATGCTAGGCAGGCGGAGACCAACATGCTTATAATGTAAATAGTAAGGCTATCATGATTGCCAATTTCGTCGCACTGGATGTCAAAAGTTGATCCTCGTTGCGTTGCTTTTGGGTATCGTTCGTTCCCGACGCAAATATCAGAAAATGAAGATTGTCATCGTTGGTGGCGGGATCGCTGGTCTATCGGCAGTAAGTCCAAATCCCTTCTCTTCCAACAACCAGCGTATATTGGATGCAGCCGCTTACCTACAAGTTTAGGCGATTGCATTGCGATCACCTCGTCGCAGCATCATTGTCCTAGAGAAGTCTCAAATGCTAAAAGAGACCGGAGCTCTTATTTCCCTTCAGCCCAACGCAAGCAAGATTGTTTCCACATGGGGCATCGATTCCTTCCTGGCACCATCCGGTCCCATGGTTGACAAGGCCTTTCGACTGTTCGACAAGACGGGAAAGCTAGAACGCGAAATCAAACTCGACTTCGCAGAGTTTGGCGCCGACCGCATTCTGTATCACCGGCAGGATCTTCATACCGCCCTGAGGAATGCAGCTACGAGCCCAGATCTGCCTGGGAAGCCGGCCGAGATTCGCACTGCAAGCGCAGTAATAGGCTGCGACGCTGATGAGGGCATTGTCACCATAAATGGGAATGAAAAGATCCAGGCAGACATCATAGTTGGCGCGGATGGTATTCGCTCCGTGGTGCGCAAGTTCCTTGTGGGCGACGGCTTCGACGCAGTGCCAACCGGCATTTCTGCATACAGAATGCTCGTTCCGATCGAGGCTCTCAAGAGCATTCAAATTCCCGAGGGTGTTTTTGAGCCTGCTGAAGCAGTAACTACCATGATTGTGGGCCACGACCGTCGGGTCATAATGGGGCCCGGCCGCAATTCCACAGTGTTTGGAATAGTTGCTTTGGTTCCTGATACTTTGACCCACGGGCAGTCGAGTTCTGATTCATGGGTAAACGAGGGTAGCATAGGAGCAGTTCTAGATGCCTTCCAAGACTTCCCGTCGTGGCTTCTGGAGATCTTCAAGCGCGCACCAGAACATGCGCTCTGGCAGCTTCGTGATATTGATCCTTTACCTACGTGGGTTCAAGGGCGAACTCTGTTGATTGGGGATGCTGCTCACGCGATGCTCCCCACGCAAGGTCAGGGAGCATCTCAAGCTATTGAGGATGCTGAGGCACTGAACGCCTTTCTTGGAGATTTGCCTGATGATACCACAAAAGAAGATGTCCATAAAGCGTTAGTCGGAGTTTTCGAGGCCCGATTTGGCCGCGCGAGCTTGATCCAGAGGTATAGCCGCGAGCAAGCGAGGCCAGGAACAGATGGCGACTCCAAGAAGGTGAGATTAGACCCTGGAGAATTCATGAAATTCAATTGTGATTACAGCGGTGCAAAGGATTGGATAGACAGGTTGAAGAAAGGCACAGTTAAATTTTAACCAACTTTGAGTATATCCAATATAATCCGAAGTTCGCTGGTTCTTTTGGTACGTGAGTTACAGCGTCGTTTCATCCAAAGCATACCACAAAAAAAGGGGCTGTGGGCCATCGGTATCAAGGCTTTCCATCTTAATTCACCGCCAAGATTCGCTGCCGCAGGGATATATTATGAGTGGTGCGAAGATCTATGAAATGTTCCTAGGACAGTTGTGTCTCCCTGTCATATCAAGCACAGGGGGCAACTACACGATGAAGTCGATAAGGGATCCAAAGCCGAAACATTTCTTTCCAGTCGTCTCTCTAATAAAGTCAATATTCTACGTGAAGCATTATTTTTTGCTCGATTTGCACTCATCATTACAATAATGCTCTTATTTTGTGTGCAGCAGAGCAGCCCTAGATGGTACTATGGCTTAACAAACTTACCCTTGAAGGACGATTTAATGTTTATTCTTGTACATTGACGATGATTGATAAGAATGGTTTGTGACACACTATCTACAGAGAATATTTGTCATCTTTTCGATCGTAATCGTAAGGATATTCCCGATTGATGTGGTATTCAGTTGGTTCTCTTTCGGAAGATCTTGCTATAAGCGGTGATTTAATGCCATGCTTAAAGTTCCAAAAAGTAATCCTTTTGCGTTATTTGATCTACTATCACACATGACCAAACCAGGTAACCATGTCATTCTTACTTAAGAGTGGTTCCAACCCTGTGCCGCTGCCTCAACTCAAGTTTGATCCTGGAGTCTTCAGTAATGTTCTAGGATCAGGTGACGGTTTCGGAACAAACTAGAAGATCTATACTTCATGACTATGAAGCTCATCATCGCGGGTTCTTCCGGCTTCGTGGCCACCGAACTAATTCGCCAAGCGCTATCGACCCCAAGCATTACCGAAATAATTGCCCTTGGTCGCCGTGAAACACCTCCTCCCAATAAGCTTGGGCCAAACTCCGATGTTACAAAACTTCGGTCGGTCGTTTTAGGAGACTTTCTGTCCTACACAGATGAAGTGAAAGAAAGTCTTGAAAGCGCAGATGCGGTAATATGGTGAGTACTGTCGATTTCTTAAACCATAGAAATTATCCTATCTAAATTCAGGAAGACACCGACTACCTTACATTCTCCATGAGCACTAGATTCATATCTATTCTAGCTGTTGTGTAGATTTCTGACATTTCGTACTAGGACAATAGCAATCAGTCCTTCAAAGCTCAGCACCGTTACGTGGGAGGAAGCCTGCGTTATTTCGCGCGACTACGCCGTCAAGGGCATCGACACGATCACACAGCTACCACGCGATGGTAAAACCGAACCACTACGATTCATATATATGAGTGGATCTAATGCGGTACGAGACCAAACCAAGAAACCACTATTGATGGGGGACTATCTTCTCATGCGGGTACGTGGCTCTCCAGTGTTATGATATATCATGGCCCCTAGAACACATCGCCCCTCCATAAAGACTTATTCTAAACTCCAGGGCATACCTATCAGTTGAAACCTTTCTTACTGATTTTTAGGGAGACGCTGAGACGAAAATCCTCAACTACGCCACGACATCTAATGGTACCGTCGAGACACAAGTGACTAAGACCGGCATCATTGAGGATCCAGTGCAGCTGAGCGTCGTATCCAAGTTGGGCAGGGCTTTTTTACGTTCCCTCGTCGGTTTACCCAAGATCAACGTGGACGTCATCGCCGCCGCGCTTCTAGATCAGGCTATCAACGGATTTGAAAAGGACACGCTTCTGAATGAGGACCTTGTCCGTATCGGAGAGGCTCGTCTTGCAGCAGGTGCTTCGGGTCAAAACCAAGCACCTTCAACGGGCTAATTAATACTAGTGCCCTACATTGAGTCTCACTTATACAGGAAGCAGAATCGAGTTCGCTCTCCAAGCTTCTTAGTTGTCCCCATCTGCTATCCTAAAGTGCCTCAAACTTTCAAGTACGCCTGCTGTGAATAATACCTCAGGTAGACTTAAATCTAGAGACCGAAGGTTGCACTACGGCCATGATTAGGCCTCTTTCTAGCGGCATGGTTATTCCACACTCAAAAAGAACCCTAAAACTGTGCATGAATCGCCGCTCTAGCGCCCTACAAACATTTGTTTTGGGTATCGTGTCGTGCCTTCCCACCTAAATTCGCCCTATCTTTGCCCTAAGTCATCCAGCCCTTTCTAGAAAGGGATATGCTGCAAATACCCGCCACTGTTGCTCGCTATCTTGTGTGCGGGGGTCATCCAGGGCTTCAGGAGAGGCGACCACGACTCATACATTTTCCCCACCCGCCGGTCCAGGCTGGGAATAAAACGCGCAACGGTCAAGCTAAAAAATAAACCAACAATCTCACGTGGCCTTGACAAGAAACTTGTCATTATCATTCAAGGACCGCCAACATCCTTGAGGAGGCAAGCGGGTAGCTTTTGGGGTGGGGACTTGAAACTGGAACGCTCCGGATCGCCCCTGGGAGGAAGGCGAACGACCGGCCAAGGTGTCAGGCTCTAACAAAAAGGATCTGCAGAGCATGAGGCAAGCTGGATCGCGCGCGTTGGTGTGGACAGGGACTGCTTTCGCCATTTTTTAGTTGTCTGAAACAATGTGACAGGACACTGACGACCCGGGGAGCACTTCGAATGGAACCAAGACCGAACAGGCTTATCAAGGGCAATTATATTTATAAATTCTTTGTAGTCATTTCTAGACCTGTCGCCGACGGTATTCCATCTGAGCGTTCTCTACCACGGCGGCTACATCTGTTGAAGTGCTTGTATGAGAACATTGACCTCAATCTATAGACCAGGCAGAGAGACCGCAGGCTCCTGTTTGTCGATTAGTCTGTTTTTGCCAACAAAACCTGCATATGGGTAAGAGATGTACCAGCCTATATAATTTGAAAGATTTAATTATATCAGAAGGCCACCAGGGAAAGGCTTTTAACAAATTAAATCACGAATTGGGACATTGTGTAATGATATGGTTTGTTTATTTATTTATTTTCATTTTCATGTTTCCATTTTCTATCACCTTAGATCATAATTCTATCGTATCCAGCGTAAAAGTACATGATCCAGCCTCTCCAAAAGGCAAACCCATCCAAGCCTACCAGAGCTCAAGGAGAGAGCGTCTAAGCCCTCCAGGCCTGGGGCTGGGCGGTGACGGTGACAGTAACGGTAACAGTGGCGGCACTGGCGACCTCGTTGTTGACAGTGCTGTCGGGGATGGTGGTGGTGGCGGTGTTCTGGCCGCCGCCGGTGCCATCCTCGAACTCCCAGGTGATCTTGGTGCGGCCGACGGAGAGGTCGGCGATCTGCTGAAAGACGCTGGGGGAGACGTCGATGGAACCGCTGACGCACTCGCCGCCGGGGCACTTGTCCCAGACCTGGGCGCGGGCGGTCTTGCCGCTGGAGTGAGTGATCTTGATCCACTTGCCGCAGACGGCGGCCTTGTTGGGGTTGGCATCGTTGCCGAAGTCAAGGGCAGAGAGGGCGACGACGGCGTCGGAGTCGGCGTGGACCAGGCCGCAGGCTCCCATGCCCTGGTGGAAGTAGGTCATTTCACCGGCAAAGGCGGCGACGGAGCTGGCCGAGACGGCAACAGCGAAGAGGGTCTTGAGAAGAGCAGACATTTTGATTTGAGTGTGAATTGGTTTGTGTGATTTGAAGTGTCAAGTGGGTTCCAAACAGGTTGAGAAGTTGCGAGGCTATCAAAGCTCAGGGTATCGCGTAAGAGAGAGTGAATGGGATTCGCTAGGAATCGTTTGTAGAGAAGGGAATGAATGAAACTGATGCTTTCAAAGCGTGCAGAAGGAGTGTTTGCTTGGGTTGAAGATGAGGGATATCGACGACGACTGGGAGGAACACCATCGCCCTTTATACTTGGAAATGGGACGACGGATTTCACGATGAGCTAGGCTGACAAGCCACAAAGACGCTGGCAACAAAGCGCAGTTTCAGATGCGCCCAAGTTCCCTTGGCAGCGCCATACCATGCCCAGTCCAGAAGCGCCAACCCTTGAGCTAAGAAGGGCGGATTCCGTGGGAGAACCCGACAGTGTGCGTGGTAAACCAGAACGAGGGCCTGCCAGGTACCATGTGTCATTGGAAATGTCTGGATCCGTCCCGCCCGCCACATGGGCTGGACCCTGGCAGGGGTCTTTGGGCAACGACTGTGATGGGCTGCCTCTGGGGCTCTGTGCCGCCGGTCATGGAGCGGGAGTCTCTTGGCGCTCTTGGCTTCTCGGACACTCCAGAGGAAGATGCTCATCCTTGTGGCGGTTGAACATCCCGCGCCGGGAATCCTCCATCCCCACTGACTTGCAACAAGGAGGTTCATCCCATATCGACATGATCCTAGATTCGAGAGTTGTGACTGGGAGATCCCGTGTCTTCTGGCTGATTGTGGCAACCGCTGTGTTCGATGGGCCAGCCCAGCTGCTTGTCCAGGGATATGCGTGTGCCTCTTACACCGACTTACTACATACAGAGAACATGAGGCGGGAATCGCAAAGCGGATGCCCGCCATTGCAGGCTCTGGACCGACTGTATTCTCGTGGTCCACTCCACCCAGGCCGAGGCTTTTTTCCCATTGACTGACTTGTCGTTTCTTTTTGTCGGGCAGCAAAAAGCCTTGAGTAATGGCTGGAACTTCCCGGTCCCCCATCAGCGTTGGTCGGGATCTTAGTGAGCTGATGGTACCTGAACGCGCAGAGCTAGCTCGGATCATTTCCCAGACATCCAGCCAGTAATCCAGGGTCTGGATGCGCGAAAAACGCTAGTCCAGGCACTGGATGTCAGCCCATCACCAGGTGTGGTGCGGATGGAGGTCCTATTGGCCGTCGCAAACTCACCGGCTCGGGGCTGACCCAGCGACTATTACCAAGCCTATTCACTGCTACGCATGCTGCATGCATCCGATGTGTTTTCAGGCACAGACAGCAAAAAAGTGGCTCACTGAGTTGTCATGTCATGGCGGTTGGTCCATTGTCCGGGTAGCTCCCGCGACCGAGTGAGAAGAAGGGATAATAATTACAATAATATTGAGCCCACGAGTTTCAGATTCAAGCCACTGCGGTGAGCGTGCACATCATTGGGGGACACTTGGACATAAGAAATTCAGGATGTGCTGGTATGAACTGATTGTCCAGTAAGCTGCCACAAACAGCCAAGACCCAAGCGACCCAACAAGAAGGTGACCGTCAAAGCCCTCTGGGTTCGTCTTTGTCTGTTCCTGCTATTCTTGATCACTCCTTACTATTCTTGCTCCCACCCGTGCACGGTGCTACGGCACAGGGGGCAGCGTTCGGTTTGTTGCTCCTGAGTAAGGCCACTCCACGATTAACTTGAAACAAGGCCATTGCAGCTGGCGGTTCGCCAAGCTCCGACAGTCTCTCCATCCTCCACGTGCACATGTCTTTTTATGTATTACATACCACACTACTACGGAGTTGGTGTGGGCGCTTTGGCATTCACCGCGAGACCTCGATCAGTACAGAGCATGCATATGCAGGTGTCGTTGTCGCGCGCCAAGAATCACAGCGAGCGGTTTTTTTTTTAACTCCGTAGAAAGGCATGAAAAATGCAACAATGGAGACACGAAGAGGGGCCATCGAGCACCATTCCATGATATGAATGGCTGGGCTTAAATGTGTGAGCAGGGATCCTGCCTCCCCTTGATGCATGTGCAAACACTATTTGAGTGTGTTGTCTAAAGCCGATCATTGAATCCGATAAATTAAAGCCATGTTTGTGATACCTACGCATCCATCATTGTGACCAAGGTGCCAGCAAATAAGCAGGCCGATCATAACCAATTAAGGGGCTTATTTTTTTCCTTTTTTGCTTTTGCGGCGTTTTCCGTCCCTCCTCAAACAAACCGCTCCTGCGGATGGATGAGTGAGATGACACGAATTACGCGAAAGCTACTGCTTCCACGATACCCCTGTGCATGGGAGCACTTTATGATGAGGGTACACGTTGCCACCACTTGCTCCATACACTCTATATGCAATACATATACTATATAACACAGAGGCGAGCTATCCTGGGCCTCCATTAAGGAGATCTGTAGGGGAAACATGGTCAAGCTGGGGAGAAAGTGTGAGATTTCCCCGCTGCCGCATTACTACATCCGCAGTAAGCCTACCTTGCATATGTGTAACAATTATATTACTCTCCTCCTACGAAAGACGAGACGACGATGAACTATGGGTCGAATGAGGATCCAGTCTAGTCCGTACGGAGGGCCGGTATACCCAATAGCTCGACGGAGGTACCAATAGAATTTCATTCATAGCCATGGTGTTCGGAAGTAGGGGGATGAACTCGTCATACACACATCCAAAATCTCTGCCTGCAATGAGCCGAGCAATTTTCCGTCACATGTATCTTTTTTTCTTTTTACATGTATGTGCTGCGCCATATCACCGTGCCTTTCTCGGCAGGGATTGCCTGGCATATCATTGGGTAAGAGGGTAATAAGAACGACGCCTCCATTTGTAAAGTCGCCAAAGCGCGGGGGCTGAGCGAATCTCCCGGCAACACGAAGCACATTATCGAAAGCCTCCTCCCCTCGTATTACATTTGGCCTTGGCGCCCTCGGTTAGCTTTCAGCTCCTGTGTCCCACAGCCGCTCGCTACAACAAAGCGCCGTAATGACTTGAAAATTCATTCTCGATCCAACCAAACGACGGTTCAAAGGAAAGCCATACCATATATTATTGACGTCAGTTTGTCTCAAGCAGTTTTCACCTTGATCAGCCCATGTGAGAAGAAGTGCACATTCGGGGCCATGGCACGAAAGGACTTCGTAATCAGCCCCCAGCCACTTAGAAGGAAGAGGGCGTAGTATGGGCTGCATAATACGCCCCTATGTAAGATGACTACCGCATCTAGGCTTCAGCTTATTGTGAAAGAACTTTCCTCCCCACTTGCTGAACCAATGAACTCCTGTCGCCCAAGAGATGTCCACAGGGAATGGTAAGATGAAAGTCCGTTGTGATGTACCTTTTGCTGCTGGAAGAGAATAGGAGAATTGTTTATCGTACCAGACTAATACTGGGCTAAATGGAACTGAAACCAATGGTGATAAACAAATGCTGTATTGTTAACGCCCTTTTCCAGCTGATAAGCAGATGCCGACGAAGGGGAACATGTGAGAAGAATGCCGCGTAATTCCTGAGATGTGAAGTGCTAATCCATGCATTAAGAAAAGACTCGCTGAACAACCCTAAAGTTCTTACTTCAATGCCGTCCATCTAATACTGGTCAATATCCCAACTTGAAGGTTCACTAGCCATCGACCACTCATTCTCGACGCACTCCTACATCTAACTATTCAATTGAGTATTTTCTTCTGGCCTATTCTTCTCTCCCCATAGGACTCTCAATCTTTATGTGTTATATGTGTCTGCTCGAGGTTGGTCAAAGTTTTCGTCGCAGGATGCACTTAGTAGGTACCCTAGACTCAACTCACACATTTGACCTCAATCCTTCCCCGATGTGCCGTCCCTTAGATCTAATTATCACATATGGACGTATTTCAATCCGTGAATTAGCCTAAGAATCTTAGAATGAACCTAGATTTCGTTCTATTCGTGCAGAAATATCAATGACAGAATGTAGAGCAGGGTGTTGCCAGGGAATAATCCTCAACCGCAGACACAGTTACTATTACACACAAATTATGTTCTCTCCCATTAGCAATGAAACATATCAGTGACCACTGACTACAATGAAAAACAGATTGTAGGGAGTGAGTCTGCTATGCTCCGTATCTTTCTTTGGCTTATAATAGCTGATCAGTAACGTAGTTTAAAAATGCCACATCTGAGAGGTCAATGAAAAGTCATAAAACACAGAAAATTTAGTATTAAGGCCACCACTTCTCTAACAGTAGCAGCCTGATTATAATGATTGGCTAATGATACATGTGCACCGCGTTATTCTTTACAAAAAAAACCATGAACCGTAGATACGATCTCCATTATGGTCGCGTACCGGGATATGGTGCGACGATTACATGAAATCGTAGACTCATAGCCCAACCCATCACCCTCCGAATTCGACATCTAGCCTTTTCGGTTTGCCACTACACTGGCCCTCCACCCTGCTCGGTCACAAAGGAGACCGGTCTGCGGGAGCCTGGGTTTTCGATCGGCGGTGCAAGTTTGGGCTGTCGGCCTGGGCCTGGCCTGATTTGCCCATGCTGTGAAGGTGGATGCGAAGGCTGCTGCGTAGGGTGGGCTGAGACCGCACCATTGCTTGCTATGTTGGCAGCTACCTCCTCGTCGATGATGACAATCATCCATATGCCAATGCTCCCATTCACTCCCCGAAGAGGTGTGCAGTGGAGCCAGCGTGGCCTGCCGCGATCAATCTTGCCTGTGGGATCGTGGCGTGTCGACGACAGCCAGCGCACCTTTGCAGTGACGCCTTGCTCTTCGGCGAGTGCTTGGGCGAGCTGATGGCGAATGCGGCCGGACCCGCCAATGCGTGACAGGAAAGGACTCTGTAGCATGCCTGGAACCCGCAGGCTCGGCGAGGCAAACAGGATCTGGAAACTTGGGGCTGGGCGGACGAGGAGATAATGCTCGTAGATTCCCGGTAGCCGTCCATTGGCCTTGGTGTGGAGGCCAGGGAGTGGCGATTCGGGCAGGTACCCATTTGATGTGTCTGGGAACGAGGCTCTCGGGAGAGGGGATTGCTGAGGCGACGAGCCATCTTCGAGTACTAGATAGGGTGTATTCCAATTGGCGTCTTGTCTGGATGGTGCGTCATATGAATCCCGCGACTGATGCATGCCTCCGCCATAGCGCCGGACTGTCTCGAGCTCATGGCGGTTAAACATCTCACTCAGTTCGCGACAGGATGTCGTGGCGTCTTTCTTGACTTCCTCATCGACGATTCCATTTGTTCTCTCCGCCCCGGAATCCTCAATCTCGTCTTCCTCGGTGTCGGCAATGCGCTTGAAACCTTCGAGCGCAGTGCATTCCCGAACCAATCCTGAAACATCAATCTGAGCACCCAGGAAGTAACGGACATTGCCTCTGGAGTCGATCAACGGCGCACAGACCAAAAGGTTCATGAAGGGAGACCCGTCACGGCGATAATTCAGAAATGTCTCGAAGTGATCCTGCCCAGCGGCAAGCCGATCTCTGATCCTTTGGATGCTGAATGGATTCGTGCCGGGGCCCTGGAGGAAGCGACAATTGCGGCCAATAACATAGTCCATGCCATATTGTGTGGTGCGATGAAATTCTGTAGTTACTCGTTAGACAGACACACTTGGGGTTTGCAATGATGTTTGATATTACACACCGTCTGAGGCAAGGATGATGGGATTATCCTGTCTGGATGGATCTGTCAGGCAGAACACCTCCGCCAATCCCTCTGACGCATTTCGGAGATGCGCTGGCATAATTCCTGTTATTCTTTGCTTGATAGACAAGCTGACGATGCCAATATATTTGTGGGTGATGAACATAGGGAGCTCATCTCTTGTCAGTGCTTCAAGTGCCGCGTCATGCTTAGCCTGGAGGCCGTCATTCGAGGTGTCCTCAGCAATGTCGGCAGTGAATTCATGTCCGTTCAATGCGCCCAGGGATGCCATCACCGAGTTGGCATACTTTATGGCTCTCATTGCCTTCTCGCTTTCGAGGTAGTATTTCAGAAGGGGAACAGACTCTGGCCTCACGGTGGCAAGAAAATGGGCAAATTGACCAAGGAGACGTGAGTCGGCCAGTATAGTGGCCATGTGCTCTTTGGAGAAGAGGAGTTCTGAGCGCCTCTCCAGCGAGTAGACGGTCTGCTCCTCGTGGGACGGAGCGACAATGTCGAAGCTTCTTGGATCATACTCTTCCTCGTCTAGGGGTCGAAGATCATCTGCTGCATATGAGCCTGCCTTGGCCTGCAGGGCTGGCAAAAGCGAGGTCCCAGTAGTCTCTACGGAATCCGCGTTGGAATCTGCAAAAGAGACATTGGAAGCCCTGGAGGCCATGCTCCGCGGTCCCGGTGAAGAGGAGCGCGACAGAGCGTCCATCATCCGGTGGGACATGCCGTCGAACCCGTCAAAATTGAGAGATGGCTCTCGTGCGCTATATGGTGAGTCAGTGTCTAGTCTATCTCAAGGGGCTGAAGCTACATCGCGTGGCCTAGACGAAGGCGACAATGCAGGGACGAAAAGACAGGCGCGAGACGGCTCGTCGCCGGCGGCATCACTAACATTTGATGAGCACCGCTAGGGGCTCGAGGGAACATATCCTGTCGAGCTATGGGAGACCGAGGAATCTCGGGCGCAGGCGCTACAGGCTGCTGGCTGTGGATTGGGATTGACGACTGAGCCATTGTTTAGCTCAATATCTTGGTCGGAATACGATGTGAAAGACAAGTTGTGCACATTTGTCAGGAGGATCTAGATGTATAAACACTGAAGAAGAAGGATTTCCCGTGGTGTTAGCTGGAGCGGAAAGACGTCACCTTGGTCAGAGGGCGATCTGCATCGCCGGTGACACACAGAGTCATTGAAGTGGCCCGAAACTCCATCACTGGCGCGGCGTAATATCGAATTAGTGGCAGTTTTGCGCTCTAGCACGGCCTGAGCGAGCCCAACTAAGCAAGGCGTGGAAAAAGAAAGTATCCTCTGGGTCTGAGCTGAAGCTCTTGAGCCCGATTCGCATGTCCGATTCGAACGATCCGTCTCGATCAAAGCCCTCCGTCTTGGCATCTACCGATCGGAGCTAACATCAGGGGAACCATCTAACTTAGTTAGGGTCCCCAGACAGCAATCTGTCGGCCCGTGTCCCCCAGGAGTGTCAGCTGGCAACTGACAGGCTTTGAAATTATGATCCCTGCGTAGATTGATCGGACAATATTGATCATGGAGCACGACTAGGCGGTTTCTGTGCCATCAAATCTCTAAGCGAGGGGCTAGCGCAGGTGGTTGGAGCAGGATCGGCAGCAGTTCGTGAAGCTAACGATCTGCTAATCATCTTGCCCATCTTGCCATCCTCCTACCGATAGTTTGGTCATAGACGAATGCCTTTCTGGGGAAAGACGCGCAGGTTGGCCCTTGATTTAGGTCCCGCGGGCCAGCACACGTGAGAGTGAATAATTAAACGCAGATTAAAGACATTGATGGGATAAGAACCAAGAGGGTAACGGTCCAAGCAAATGTGAGACTAGACATACAGAACCTAGTGCACATGGCTCTCACGCACGATGTAAGGTCAACGGCCACGCTAAACACTCACTTCTGATCGCCGATCTTGCATATTTTATGCCCCACGAGCTGCCGTGTTACCATCCTTTTCAGGTGTGCCTCTAGGCTTCCAAGACCATGGTCTCTGAAGTTTTTACTCCAAAAGGCTATATCTAGAACAACGTACCTGGATACTTATACAGTTTGCCATAACGTGCCTTTACACAATGCTACAGAACAGGTGAAAAACAAAGACAAGACGGAATAAATAGCAAGATCAAAAATAGGCAAGGGGAAAAAAGTTTTCAACCAAAAGGTCAATGCTGGAAAGATATTTAGTTGTTTATTAGCCCCACCACATTCATTTCATCGTCGCATCTTTCCCATATATAGTGCTGCTATTGATTTCATGTTCCGGCACAAGTCAACGTATCTATTTCGCCGGTCTAGCGATCAAACCAACAACCGGATAACCTGACTTATCGGAGGAATTGATGTCAATAGAACTGTAGTTGTTCCAAGAATACTCATAGACAAGCTCGATAACGCGGCTGCTCGTGGATCTGTCTCAAGTAGCAGGGCGGTGACTATGGCAGCCGAGTTTGACCCCAAGGTAATTCCTCTGGTAACGTAGTCGTCTGCATCAACAAGTTAGCGAACGCTCTATGCAGACAAGCCGTCCTTTGTAACTCGCCTTCCCGGACTTTGAGCCAAGTTAAAAGGCGTTGTCCCATCAAAACCCCTAAGATCCCACTCCTAACACCAACCGATGCAACCGTATTGACATCTCCTCCAAGATTTTGGGTTGCAGGCAGCGCAAGCGCCAACGTGATGCTCCGTGATGCCATGGCAAGAGATCGCTGAGGCCTGATACCAATGGCGAAACACACCGAAGGGTAGGCGAAGAGTGAGCCAACAGACATCAATGCGTTAGGGATCATGATCAAAAGGAAATGCTGTCGGAGCTCGCGCCTGTATTGGTACATTGGCAGAGACAGAGCAACAATACTCGCATCCAAGGCGGTGGAAAGAATGTCCCCGGCACCAGGCCGACTAGAAGTGCCAGGGTTTCCCCAGAGGTAGAGGTAGTCGACGCCGGGCTTGAACTGATGAAGCCCCGTTTTCAGGCTATCGCCGCGGCTAGCTGCTAGAGCCCAGATACCTAGCACGGTTATTAAGGCTGATACTATTACGGGGTGTAGGTACTGTCGATAGCGTGGCGGAACTCTCATTGAGACTAGATATACCAGCACACAAAGGCTAAGATGAACAGGCATGACATAGCCTGTTGTGTAGAAAACAGGGATGCCAATGAAGATAAATACCGTACTCCATATAGTGAAGTTTAGGTTTCTTGTAATTGAGATCGCCCAGATCTGTGCTCTGGGTAATGGAAGAGGATCAGTAGATGGCATTGGGCTAGCAATTGCCGTCTGGGAGTTTTCCTCGGCATCGTCCGCTTGAGGTGTGCTTCTTGCCAAACCTCCTAGCGAAATCGAAGAAATTGACCGAATTGTGGAAGGGATCATGAGTGCCATTGGCATACGTGTCAATTCAGTGACATGGTTGGGACGAAAACTTTGGACAGGTCGAACTTCCTCAGGCTCCTCAATGTCCTCGTCTCTTCGCGTTGTGGGAACTCGCTGGACGTGGTGCAGAATCCAGCGAAGTCCTTGAGTTACATTCGCAGCGAATATCATCATAACAACCCACCCAATCACTGGATTCGTTAGCAGAGGTATTTCTGGTGTTTGTTGCTACTCTTTCAGCACTTGAATCGACTCACAGAATACGGCGATGATCTTCATCACCTCAGAAATGGCAATTGGAGGACTAGTAGGAAGCATTATGAATGCAGGGGCGAAGAAAATGTTGATCCATTTCAATGCCCAGTCTCCCTAGCAGCGGTTAGCGTAACTTGATAGATGAAATTGCCATTGAATCCTCTCAGTACCGGCACCTTGATAAGCCCGACGACGGCGTTCGTTGGATGCGTGCCTAGCAAAGCTTCGCAGCATAGCAGTAGAATGAAGAAGATGATCATACATGCCACGGATGGGGGAAATGATATTCCCACAGTTGAGAAGAATATTCGCATGCCAAAACAGACGGCGAGCATCGACATGATGCCTATTGGGACATAAAGCCAGGAACTTCGAAGGTGGCGAGCAGATGAAGTGCCAACCTACAAGACCAAGACCAGTTAACAATCGTCATTTGAGAGCAGCGAAATGGATAATCTCTTACCACCTTGATAGCCTGTAAAGCGTCATTGACGGCTTCTACTATTAGGCTCCTAATCCTTCGATAAACCATGATGATACTAAAAGTGTTCAATGGACCTTTATGCTATTTGAACTTTTGTAGTGGATGCCGCAATCGGTACCAAAGTCACAGTCCAGAGATAATCAAACACAACAGCGTCCCTAGAAAGAGGGTTTGTCTTCATCGCCGTTGCTTCTCAGAGAGAACGCCGAGAAGTCGCCTCGGTGAATCGGCAAATGGAAGTAAGGATTCTAGGGAAGCGGGCCACGACTCGAGGATTAAGCTTCGGACATCGAATTAGAGCCTCCGGATTACGAGAAAGACAAACGCTGGCCGAACGCACGTTCCTAGTTAGCGGACTCCATAATTGGGTCGGCCAATTGATCAAGACGGCTTTGCCCTGGGACTCATCCGGACGAATGGGCAAATGTTGGAAGCAACAAGTCAAGGCCAAAGTAATGGGAAGTCTCAATGTGTGCCCAAGGTATGGATTAGCTACTTAATTGGCTATTCGTCCTGTCTATAGACCGCAAACATGACGGTCAAGAGACCTTAAAACGAATAATACATTTCGGCATTTTTCTTCAGTATTCGTGAGTGCATCATTTAATTGTAAAAAGTCATGATCATTGTAACATATGCTCGTGGCTCTTCATGAGGATGCAGAAACTCTCTTCGAAGCTTTTCCCTCCAATCTAGCTACATCAACGATGGCCCTTTTATGCAAAGCCTTCCCAATCTCTCCACCCTCATCTTTCGCAACAACATCGAAAACAAAAAGCTTCCCGTCTCTCTCCTTGTAAGTTGCCTCTGCGATAATTTGTGCGTCCACGGGTGTCGGGGCAGTATGGCCAACTTCAACGGTAACACCAACAGAGAGCTCGCCAGGTGCAAGATATGGTTGGAGGACTCTGGCGCTTGCGATCTCCATCAATGCAACCATTCTAGCCGTAGCAAACACATTGGGGAAGGAATCATTTGGGTCTGAAGATATAGAACTCGCGAGGTCCGAGGTCGAGACTTTCAGTGAGGCAGTGGCTGTCGCACCAGGGCTTAGGCCTGCAGAGGAACTAGCCATTCTCATGAAGCGAACGGGATAGGATAGGGGACGAAGTCGATACATCTACTACGATGAGTTAGCCTAGAAATTGAGTCTTGACTGAGTGAATAGATACGGATAATGTGAACGTCCGGGCTCGGTCCTGTTCGTTTGGTGGAAGGACAGAGAGAAGCTCGCCTCGACGAACGGATTTTACTTATTTACATAGGTAGTTAACCTAGCTACATCATTGCACATGGGTACAGAAAGTTCTCTATACGAAGTCTTTTTATTTCAATCCCATTCATTGGCTGCTTGTCTTCCATGCGAGCTCCGAGCTCCTGAACTTTCGGAAAACCGGACTATGCCGAGCGGAGACCGATTGGAACCGGAGAATGGTCACTGCAAACCCGCCGACAAAATCTTTGAGAAGTTTCGAATGTTCAGATCAACTTGCTATCTAATAGGGGAGACTAAGGAATAGAATTCGCCTGGTGTTGGCCAAATGCTCCCATAACAGTAGGGCTCTACCTTTTTAAGCACCCTGTATTCACTCCGCTCCTATCCTCCGAACAACATCGCTGACATGTTGCTTTGCTTGGTGGAATACGGCCATAGCATTAGGATAAATTCCGCTTGTGTCGTCGCGCAAAAGCCTCTGAATTAAGAGGGGTTCTGCGCAGTTTTAAATCCCAGGGTTGAGGTTTTTAACCTCCATCCGCGCGAGTCTGACGTTTTCGTACTTCACTCCAGATCTTGACTAAACTAGACGACTTCAGGGAACTTAATCTATAGAATACTAAACTAGTAAATTAAGAATTACGAGGCGCAGTGATCGATCAAGACCGGGTAGATGAGAATGGCGGGATAAGGCTGTCAAGGTCGCGTCCAATTACTGTGAGGTTAACAGCCCTCAGAGCACTGGTTGGCTTCAGTAACCAAGGCTCCTATTAGTTAAGTTCACGAGAGTTCAAAGACGTCCCTCCAGGATGGTGCAAGAAACATCCATAACCTGTAGTTATGAACCGAGAAATGACTCGTTAGTCTTGAACTTGCCTAAAAAGGGGTTGAAATCCGTCCTGGTGGTGGAGGGAAACCTTAGCCGGCCCCATGTAATTGAACAGGATTAGCCAACCACTAAAGCCAGTCTTTGATTGACGTAATATTGGAGTCGCTGACAAAAGCATGCTTCTGTTTGGTCACCGGCACCTCTGCTGGCAAGACTCCCCGCCCTCCATCAAGACCCCAGACAGCGAACAGGTCAAGCGGGGTGAAAACCTGGAGAAAGCCTCCGCACGAACCAATCACTGAGCATGTGTGCAACCTCTAACGCAGGAAAATGGATATCTGGATGGTGGGCAGTCAAGTCTAGGTCAACCGAGACGAGGTTCGGCCCCTCATAGCAACCGTATGCCCCAGATCTAGTTTGCCCCCAGCAAGCGAGAAAGGAAGCGAGGCGGAGGCCCCCCGTCCCCCGATCCTGATGGCTGGTTAAAAGAGAATCTAGACATGCCTTCTTTGAACCGTGCCCATTACAGATCCCCCTCTCCCGAGGCCTTCCCCTAATATCCCGCCAACCGAGGGCCTCGCGCCGTAGTCGGTTGACCGCATTCCCACTAAGCGGACACAATGTCCCTACACAGCTCCCTACCCAGCGCTTTTGGCTCTGATATCTCATTCACAACCCTGTTGGATGCGGAGGGAACCGAGGCCGAGGAATCAATGACCACGCCAGTCCCCAGCCATCGCAAACCCGATCGCCTGTCTGTTGCGTGCAAGCAATGCCGGAAGCGCAAAGTCCGATGCGATGCACAGCAACCGAAATGCAAAAATTGCCAAGTAAGAAATGAGATCTGCGAAACCTCCGACCTCCGACGACCAGGCAAGGGGCCTGCTCTCCGCCGACGCGCTGCTCGGTCAACGGGCTCAAGATCTCAGTACGATCAGCAGGACCCTGCTTCACCGGTTGCCCCGTCGCCGAGGTCGAACAAATCAGGCCCTCGCAGTGAAGGCTTGAGCTCTGTCCAAAATACTGGCACCACTCATAGCCAAGGAGAGGTCGAATCCCCAACTGAGCTTGCATCCTCCGAAGTAAATACGCAAAGTTTCCATGATACCCCGTCTTTTTCAGCAACAAGTAAACAAACCCGTTCTAGTCGCCCAGTCAAAAATCACATCTCTTGGTTGACTCGCGGATATCAAGCCAGCGCAGCAGCTCAGGTTCAAGAAACTGGATCTGAGCACGCTGAGCAAGAAGCCAGCTCTGAGGTAACCCCTGACGTGGTGGTAAATACGGATGGCACGCCTTATAGGGTGAAGGTATGTATTGGTCCCCTCTTCGGCCGAGTGATCTCAGATTTGGATAAGCTAACATCCAATACCTCTTGAAGTTCCAGGGCGGGAGTAGCATACAAAGTCTCTTCACATTCGTCGACCTACACCTGGTCATTCATGGTTTTGATCCTGCCAGTCCCTTGTTCAGACATGGAATGCATCAAAGCGAAGAAATTCCGCTAGCTCTAGCCCTCAAGCTACCGCCGCTACCCGATCATCAGAAAATAAAGCGGTGTCTTGATGTATTCTTCGACCGGCTCTGGCCATTCTACCCTGTGATTACCCGATCTAATTTTGAGGCAGAGATCGATGCCATAATATCTCAACAGCCGCAGGAAGTATCCGACCTCCAATTCAGCATTCAATACACGCATATACCTTGTTTGGTCGCAGTGTACTGCGTGCTATGTATTGGTATCAACGAACTGTCAACCACAGACCCAGAGCTGAGTATCGAATATCTAAATGCCGGCTATCAACTCTACGCTCACCTCGTTGCGACGCCTTACTTGCCCAGCGCCCAATCATTATTTCTTCTAGCACTTGCTCTTCGATCATGGGGAAAAGATGGTCAGGCGTGGCATATCGTCGGCCAAGCGATTCGCATTTCGCAGTCACTCGGCCTACATAAATTAGTCATGAGACACTCGCCGGTCAAGGCGCAAGGAACTCCTTATCAACACTCGGATACTCTAGGAGAGAGGCTATGGTGGTCGTGTTATGCCCTGGAAAAGCAGATGCAACTCGAGTGCGGAAGACCATCGATCATTGACACTGAGTTTGATAATATTACTTCAACATGGTCCCAAAATCTGACGACCAGTGACTCTTCACCTTATTTCAAGGCCTGGATTTCACTCGCTGGAATCATGGGTCGCATTTCTGACCGAATCTACGCGCACAAATTTGGCAATGCTGAAGAGATGCTGTCCGAGACCATCAAGCTCGACAAGGACTTATTGGAATGGGAAAGCTCACTACCTGACAGCCTCAGGCCTCGGGATATATTTCTCGAACACTTGGATGAGGCAAGCAAAATATGTGCTGGATTTCTCTCCCAACAGTACTATCATGTGAGAATTGACCCGCCCCCTTTCTCTACGCAGAGGCCGTAGCATTGTAGCTGACAACATCCAGGCTCAGATATCCGCCTTACGAGTGTCACTAATCTTTCCCCAGCATGCCTTCTCAGCAGAGATCAAACGGCACGGCACAAAGCTATCTCAGACGCAGAGGCTATTGGCCGGAGCTTCGATATGTGCACAGGCTGCAAGGGCCGTCGCAACGCAAATCCTTCAATTAGCAGATGAGAATGTACGATCCCCGAGCCTGGGCATTTCTCAAACATTCCTAGCTTCGGTTGTACTTGCACTGGTCATTCTTAGGCAACCCAACAGTAGACTGGCTCGATCCGATGTCGAGTTGCTTACTTCTGCCACGGAGCATATGGAGGCGTGGTATTATCACTGTGGATTCAATCCAGGCTTCATTCAGGTATTCGTCGAGATGCGGAATCGAGTCGGTTCGGTCTTCCTTAAAACTAGCGCAAAAGCACCTCGGAGGAGTAGCTCCATTACAACGTCATTGCCACGAACACAAGACGTGGTCAGCCAAGGTTCGGGATTCACGCCATCGATAGCCGGTAGCTATGGCCATACCGGTACAACCTCGACCCATGGGGGTAGTGGAATGGGTAATCAAAACACAGGTGATGGATTTGACGACTCAGCACTCAATTTATTCGGCAACATGGACTTTGAGGAACTATGGAATATGATGGACTCGGATTTCATGTCATATGATACCGATATTCAGCTTATTCCCTCATAATACCCTTTTTCTTTCACATTAGTAAAGCAATTAGTTTCAATCAATCAACATCTCTTTCCAATATCCCAAACATCCACATTGTAATTGTCGTTCGGTCTGCTTTCTGATCCCTGTACGGCTGGTCAGATCGGCGAGTCACACATGTGCGAACCGAACCGAGAGCAAGGATTAAGCCATGTCCGAACCGAGCAGCCCCTTTCAGCCCACCAAGCATGTTAGTTGGTTCGAAAGGACCTCCCATGCGCACTCGTATTGAGAGACTGATCTATATACTTAAAGTAGCTAAAGGAAGTATGAGCTTGTTAAGCCTTACAAATCACCGCCATCTACTCAGGTGTTCCAATCAACTTGACTTGATCACAGGTCCACTTCCAATTTCCCAACGCTCTACTTCGCTTCGTCAAAATGCCAGGTGCTATCACTGTTACCCAAGAGAGTCCCATCGCCTCACTTAAAGTAGGCAAGAGACTCCAAGTCGATGGCACCGATCCAAAATTTGGTGACTGGCGTGATGATCTCATTCGCGATGGATATGCTATTGTCAAGGGTGCGATCCCACAAGACCGTGCATTGAGTTATGCTGATCGGATGCTTTCTCTTCTGGAATCATTGTAAGTGGGAAGACTCTAAACATTACCAATCCGCGTATACAGAACTAACGTCAATCTTCTAGTGGCAAGGGCTACAAACGAGATGACCCTTCTACCGTCCATCCCGACAACCTACCCGTTATCACCGAGAAGGGCATGCTACTGAACTATGGCGCTCCCCATGAAGACTTTGTCTGGGATGTTCGCTCCGAGCCTGGAGTCTATGAAGCCTTCGAGAAGGTATATAACACAAAGGACATTATTGTCTCATTCGATGCCATCAACTACGGGTTTTGGAACCGTCAGAACTTGCCACCCAATAAGCCTTGGCCTCATCAGGACCAAGATCCCGAGCGACCTGGCTTCCGATGCCTTCAGGGTCTCGTGAACTTGCTTCCAAATGGGCCTAACGATGGCGGTTTGATCGTCTGCAAGGGTGCTCATCTTCTGAGCGAGCAGTTCCATGAAGACATGAAAGACGAGGAACGCATTCCGGCGTGGACCAAAGAGTGGTACGGCTTCACTGATCGGGGCATGGCTTGGCTGAAGGATCATGGTTGTGAGTGGATCAAGGTCGAAGCCGAGCCTGGAGATCTCCTCTTGTGTAAGTGTGCCAAACTCCCGTATCCGAATAAAGTTACTGACTGGGTTCCAGGGGACTCCCGTGCGCCACATTACAATGTCCCTGCATCAGGTACGCAAGACCGTCTTGCCATCTACACATGTTACATGCCCGTAGCCGATGCTTCACAGGAGGATTTGGTCCGGAAGAAGGCTGCATTCGAAGGTATGAATATAAATCTCGCCAATTTCTCACACGTATCTAACTATAACTTAATCTAGACCGCGTCGGAACTACTCACTGGCCCAATGCTCTTCATACTGGCACGAATAGGGCCAAGCGCAACGGAGAGCCCGATTCACTCATTCGAGACAGGCCAATTAACGAGCCGAAACTCAGCGAGAGGGCTTTCAAACTTACTGGCATTCCTTACATCAAGACTTAGTGATCATAGGTAATGAAGTGTCATCGTCCCTTAGGCTGCTCCCCTAGGTTAAGAGAAATTCCACGGGAACATCTTCGTCTCTAGTATCATGAATTTCAATAACAAGCTCAGTCTTTGTCAAGCATAAAAGTTCAATAAATCTTCTCGCGAGTTAAATCATCTACCATAAAGGGCCCAGCTGGTGCAAGAAACAAGCAACGGTTCAGCCTGAGGTAAACCAACAAAAAGCTCACTACACAAGCCCGTTTAACTTGCATTGCGTCATCACTGCGCCAGAATCTCCTAATGTATTGGTAATTGGGGCTAGTTTGAGGATAAATAAAGTATGTACATGTACCCAGGTAGGGATAGCAACTCTATGCTACCAAGGTAAATCAAGGTAGTTGCCATATATTAAGAATAAACCCTACTTAATAGAAAAGAGACTTCTCAATTGCAGCTGCAGACTATCACATCTACCGACCACTGCCTGTATATCAGATGATACCCAAAGTGGTGGCTTCGTTTATTAGCGGACAGTTGGGCCTTTTTGGCCTGTCTCATCAGTCAGCTCCAATTGCGGGGTATCCCGAGTCGGTGATGGAAGGGCACAAAGCTTCCCCTTCAGTCTAACACATCACGATGAGGCTTATCAATTCTACTGTCTTCGAGCCTGCCGAGTTCTTTGGGGATGAGATTCCGCCCTATGCTATCTTGTCCCATACATGGGGCTATGGCGAGGTTGAGCTCCGTGACGTGTTAGCAGGATCCTTCCACGGCCGTGAGGGCTTTGCTAAGCTGCAGGGCTGCTGCGCTCAGGCAGCCAATGATGGCCTCGCCTGGGTCTGGATTGATACGTGCTGCATTGATAAATCATCGAGCGCCGAGTTGTCAGAAGCCATCAACTCGATGTACACGTGGTACCGGAACGCAGAGGTCTGCTACGTGTACCTGTTTGACGTTCCAGCTCTTGTTTTTTTCTTGGATAAGCACAAATTTCAGGAAGCTCGGTGGTTCACCAGAGGCTGGTGCCTCCAAGAACTGATAGCTCCTCGGGAAGTCGAATTCTATGCAGAAGATTGGACTGAATTGGGAACCAAGTGGACTTTACAAGCGACAATATCCGAAATCACTTCAATCCCAGCCTCAGTCCTCCTTCACCAGAAACAACCAGCGCAGTTCCCTGTTGCTCAGAGAATGTCATGGGCATCCATGCGTTCTACGAAGCGAGAGGAAGATATGGCATACTGCCTCTTGGGCATATTTGACATCAATATGCCTTTACTATATGGGGAGGGTAAAAAAGCCTTCATTCGACTCCAGCAGGAGATTTTGAAACGGGAAGTAGACTACAGCATCTTTCTCTGGCGGTCAACTGCTCTTCACGATGCCACGGGTCTTCTTTGTGATACACCGCACTGCTTTCCAGTCGACGGCGTGCCTATTATCTCTGGAGGATTATGTAAATATTCCGAAATCTCTGCATCTGATCTTCCCCTCAAGTCAGGTTCAGAGCGTATCAAGCTACCAGAAGTCACGCCGCGAGGTCTTGAGATGACGCTATATAAAAGGGCTTACCAGGCCAACACCCTGCTGGCTTGGATCTATCTAACCTACAACGGGGGTTTGGTTTTCCTCGTCTTGAACAGAAAGAGCCTCGATCACAAGCACTACCGAACTCGTGTCGGCTACGTCGAGGTTATGGGAATGGGTCGAGATCCGACGGGCTACATCACAAGTTTAAGCGACTACGAACATATCACTACCGCGATATTCACGGAGCTTGCCATTCCTCAAATTGAAGTCCGGACGCTAGACTTTAAAGTCTGGCTTCAATCCAAGACCAATGAAGAACTGTATATTGCTGAGATATATCCACCTGGATATGACTTGGATCTTCGCGAGGGTGCACTTAGTACTGAATTAAACCCCGTCGACTGTCCTGATATTTTCTTCCTTTTGATTTCCGTTAAGGACACCCAGGAAAAGTTTGTTGTCGCATTCAACCTTTTTCACACTACTTGGGCTTACAAGATCCGCAAACACACGTCAAATGCGACTCTAGAATCGGCAGCAAAGGAAAGCTGGGCTGGGGCTGTTGAGGATAACACTGATAGAGCCATATCTCGCCTCTCAAGCGGTAGCTATATCATAGTTTCAGCAAAGACAAGAGCGCGCTCTAGTCGAGCGTACTTATATATAACCCTCATCCCTGCAGAATCTGCAACAGACATCTCGCTTCCGAGGACAATCGTGCCCCGAATTCAGCAACCCAGCTAGAATTACGAGATCCTTCTGTATTGAATAGATAATGTCGCTGATTTACTTGAAGTAGTAATCAAAGCTCTTGTGCGTTGAGTCCCACTAAATTAAGGTCTACATGACTCTTTCGTCGGCGTGGCTCCTTTTGCGAACCTTAAGATGCTGATTTTCATTTATTAAAGGCCGCTATTTCTGGCCTGGTTCTGAATGAACCGCACAGCTCAAGTCCATCTTCACTTGCGAAAGTATCGACAATCTGCTCGCAAAATAGCTGCTCGCAGACAAGTCAACACACCCAAGTCTCAAACACCCTACACTATGTAAGCTTATCGCTATACTAAAATCTCATAATATATAGACAAATAAGACTAAATTAAAAACAAATAAAGTTTATATATATAAGGATAGTAACTCTATACTATTAAAATAAGTTAAAATATCTAGTTATTATATATTAAAAGTAAACCTTACCTAAAGAGAAGAGACCTCTCAATTACAGATACAGGCTATCACATCGACCGACCACTTCTAGGTGAAACTAAACCCTGCCAGCTCTCCCTTTCGAAATAGCCTAGTGCTTACGAGAATGGGAAAATTGGAGAAACCAGGTATAACTATAACCCCGCTCCGTTGCCTCAACGTCTGCCTAACCAACACAAGCCAACGTGTGCAAGTTACCACCACCACCATCATCAAAATTCACGTTACTATTTCTCGGCCCAAGGAAAATTATGGAAGACATTTGGGCTCCTCCAAACTCTTTGACGGACTTGCATTCCGTCTATAATGAGCTACAACAGGTCGATGCCTGGGAACGAAATGTCCTTAGCACCCTCAATGAGGACCAAGTGTCTGAGGATGACCAAGATAACCCATCAAGAGTCACCCTATATCAGGGACCTTCGGAGGGCTACAGTCAATCTCAAGACTCGCATCTCGTTGTTTTGCGCCGCATTGATGAACAGCGCCGAGCGCTTCGATCTCGAGCAATGGATCTCTCGCGCCCTCACCTGCGAGGTATAAAGATCACCCAACTCCCCCAAGAGCTTTTGACTTGGATCTTTAGCCTCTTCCAGCATTCAGCGTTGAATCAAAATCGAATTGGGGTGGAAGATATTGGCAGGAAATTCGCCAAGAGCGACTATGAGACATTGAAGAATCTTCGACTCGTGTGCCATCTCTTCGATCAGATTGCCACCCCATTTCTACTCCCAATCATCCGTGTGCAGCTGAATCAATCATCCCTTGAGCGCGTGCAGTCCATCTCAAGAAACCCTCGTCTTAAATCCGGTATACGCGGCATCCAGCTCTTTATCGGATGTCGCTTAAAGATACATGCGTCGTCCAAGTTCGAGTTCTTCACTCACCAGCAGCGCATTGCTCGTCAATTATTCGACTACAATGCTTTCATGTACCATCGGGCCCGACAGAGGAGCTCGGACGGACTTGCTGATGTTCAGGGATGGGGCGAAGAGCGTCTTCTAATGCTCGACAGGATCCGTGCTTGCGTCCTCGCATGCGATCGCTTTCTCGGCACGAGTCCCCTCCCTGCCCTAGGCAGATTAGATATCCCACACTCGGAGTTCCCACCAAGATTGAAGGAGCAAGTAGACGAGAGTCTCATTGATGAGTGTGAGACTATTCTTCACCGTGCTTACGAGTACAACAAGGCGGAATATTTGAGGGACTGGCCGGTAGTGTCAGAAAAGCAGCTTTCAGACGCTCTTGCACAACTCATTTCTCTCCAAAATCTGCCCATCTCTCTCAGCATTGTGGAAATCCCCCCTTTCGAGCAATATTTTGATTCATTTCTGGATACTCAAAAAGCTTTCAACTGCTTAACACGACCACTAAGATTATCGGAAATTGGAAAGCTCAAGGGCAAGCCTATTGGTGACGAAATAGCTGCCTATACCAGGGTGTTTTGGGATCTTCCCATCGCCATCTATCAGGCAGGCAGCCTTTTGCGAGGTTTTGAGCTCAAGGGGCCGACAGTGAGTGAAAGATATAGCATGATATGCCCCGAAGAGATGTCCTGCACGCCGGAAAAGCCTGTGTGGAATCAGTTGCATGTGGTGTGCCAAGACCTACAGACTCTTATTATCAAAGACCTGACTTTCAACTATTGGTTGGACGACGAAACTCAACCCGTTGGCGATAACGAGGAGCAATCTGGTCAAGTCCCACATGCCGGGCTCGAATGCTCAATTGGAAAGTATGTCGGCTCTATGCTCTCCGGCCGGCGCTTTGAAAAAGTAGAGCTCGATATGTCCCTGCGAGGGAGTCGGCCAAATACCCCCCAGAAGGAGAGATGCCCGCTTGGTTATGTTCTCAGCCGCGCGAGTTGGCCACGAGCCAGGGCGATTTCTTTGAAAAGCGTCATCATGACTCAAAGAAAAATGGAATTGTTCTGTGGTAGCATGAACCCAGATGTGGAGGAACTCAATCTGTCAGACATCCTACTCAGTCAAGGAAGCTGGGCTCCAGTGCTCGACTTGCTTCGGGAGTTGTTGAAACAAAGATGCATGGAGGGAAAGTGTCGAGTGCGGCTGATACATCTAGCAGGGGGCGAAGTTGGGCAGCTGGCAGATGACATTCTGAGCGCCTCTGTCGTGGACGACATGACGCCGTTAGAGGCTTCTACAAGCGTTATGGAGTCGTTTTCTAAGTACATTACAGGCGACGAGGTTGGCCAGAACCCGGCAATTGCAAGAAGAATGATTTAAGAATTGATTTTCTTATGTATGTAGCACTTCTTCAAAGGTCAATTCTTAGGAGAGCACAATACTCGTGATTCCATTCACCTCCATCGTGGTTTTGCCCACGATCAAGAAGCTCTGGGCAAAGGTAGAGGCCTTCAAGAAGATACCGGATTTGGAGAATGTCGACGAGGGCGGCGAGAGCACATTCTCACTTATTCAAGCTTGGGGGAACTGGAATCTAGGCCCCGCAGTTCCTGTCATGACGGCTGGTCTGATTGGGTTATATGCAGGGCAATTGATTTAACTATGTTGTGCCAGGAGGAGTTGGTCGAGCGCAACTCGAAAGCATGTTTCCAGTAAAGAGACCGAGGCAAGAATCCAATAGAAAAGAAGCCATTATTCCAATACGCCGTCCCCTTGGTGGCCTGAGCGTGCCAAGCGATGAACAGTGGCTCCGAGCTGTGCTACAGCAACGGCCGCACCCGTCGCCTTTCCCGTGCTGTCAAATACCTGGACAGAGAGAAGCATTGTCTCAAAGCCCAGCCTATTTTGCGACGGGTAAGCGAGGAAAAAGCCTGCCAAGGTTGAGGCAGCATTCCATTGGTAATGCAGAACCTCGTTCCATCCGTGGAGAATGTCAGTTTCAACACATGTCTGGTATAACGTGTGGGTAATGGCCGCCGCATGCCTGGAAGCCTTTTCCGCGTGATCAAAAGTTCGTGATTCAAAGTGATGTGGGCTCACCCCTTGTATAGGTAGCTCTGTTTGCTGACCTATTGGCGGAAAGCTGATAAGAGGTCTAGATGCCATCATTATCGCCTCGTGATATTGTAGTTCCAATATGAGCGTCTGCCTCCGAAACCACTTTGGGCCAACCAGGTCAAAGTGTTGCAAATCGTGCCTCGAAAGATCTGTGGAAAGAGGAACACCACCACCCTCACGCCTACTCTTGAGTGAAGGCGGTATTGTGTCGGCCCACGCCGTCAGGCTATCCAAGCTATCGGTGAGAGTTTCTGCAGCAAACTCGACCGTGTCGGAGCGGCCCTTGACTAAATCCAAGCCGAGCTCTCCTCGTCTGCTGCCGGACTGCGTGTAGAATGTGTCGTGCAAGATTCCCGCGGCCAAGTAGAGTTTTGCCTGCTGTCCAAACAATACCTGCTGGAATATTCGCGCTGCCAATTGCTCGGTAGACGATGCCTTGCCAGCACTGTTGTTCTCCGGGAACACGGACGAGGGAATGGCGCACGTCGTGTGGCTGATTTGGATACCACCTGGCCGGCCAAGATACAGGCTCAGCCTCGCATCAAAGGTGAAAAGCGTCCACCACATCAACCGTCTTATCCTTGGCTGATTGAATAATGTCCTGTTGGACAAGCATGCTGCCATTTCGACATGGAGGCCAAGGGTGTGTGCCTCCCGGACTGCCATGCCCAACTCCAGATACGCCTCGCTAGGTTGAAAGGTGTTGAAAAGGTTCACAGAACACCAGAACCGACATTGTAAGCTAACGAGTGAGGCTCGATGAGGCTTTTGGCGAAGCTGCCTCTGACACTGGTCATACAGATAATGAGCCATTGCGAGAATGTCGAAATGACGTGGAAGGGATGCAGGTGGTTGAGCATCGGCCCGGCCATCTCCCGGCAGCATGACGCCGCTGAAACGAATGCTGAGGGCCAGAATGATGTCAACCAATGGAGATGACTGCCTCACGAGGTCGGTATCCTGAACAGGGACCCAAAGCGATTGATAATACTCCTCGAAGTCGACCCTGTCAGTCATCGGGTAAGACCGACCCAAGGAAGAGAAGAATGCATTTATGAAAGACTCCTCTTGTGAAGGTGTCAGCTCGCCAGGGTTTCGTAACGAATCTGCATTTGCATCTGTATCGCGATTTTGTACGTCTCGGTTCAGCTCGGGAGCAGTAATACCGGGATTGCCAGTGTACGGCGACAGCCAAAACCTTGATGCTCTGTCTTCGAGCATGGTTGGAACTGAATTGCCAGCACTATCATGCTGCTGAATGTTGCAAGTGACCTGACGCAGGTACGAGTAGAGGCGTTTAGAGAAGATATAGGAGGATAGCGGACCCTGGAATTGTGTGTCCGCTTTACAGATTTCGAGAGCTTCCGAGAACAGATGCTGGCCATCCTCTTCTTCCGGAAGGGACCTGCCGTGCCCGCCGGTGTCATTTGGGTTTGACGTGTTCTGGGGAGTAAAGTCGGATGAAGAAGAGGCACAAGGGGTCTGAGAGGCCGTCTGCGTGGCGTCTAGCTGTGCCTGTAAATCCCCAACCTGCTGCTTTAGTGTCTCAATCTCCCTGTAATGTATTCATGTCAGCAAGGCGTCTATGCAGCTGCGTTGTGATCCCACTGCATCGCCGGAGACCCGTGTTCCCGCACCTTAGAGCGCTTGCCAAGTTGAGAACCCTCTTCTGCTCCCCAGTCTCCCCATCCCGGCTGCACTGTGTGCCTCTGCTGACACAGTTGTGGCAAGGCAGATCGTTGTCGCATTTGACTCTGTATGCTCTGCACCAGTTGCAGGCACGGGTTACCTGGTCCCGTCTGTGCCTTTTGGGCTCTTGGTTCGGTTTCTTGGATTGGGAAGATGCTGCATTTGTGTCTGTGTTAGAGGAGGGTCTCGTGATTGCCACGCCATTGAGGGCGAATTTGTTAAACATTGTCCAATGCCAGGTAGGTTCCGGTACGATCTGATAGGGGCGAGCACGAAAGCCGTCCACCGCCTCATGAAAATGCATGGTATATCTTCGGTCTTGAGAGTATGCATCTCCCCAGTAATATGATGATTTGCTATAGCTAGAGATTACTAATTAAATTAGAATTAATAGAAGATTTGAATTTCCTATTATCTAATAAGGGTCTGTAGATAATCTATTTATTTAGAATCAAAAAGAAGGAGATTATATAAGATATCCCGTGATCTTGGCTCTACCGCATCACAAGTAATCCTTCGGCAAACTTGGCCTTCAGGGGTTATTTGATCCATCGGCAAGACAAGGCCTTACCAAATTCAGGAGTTGTGAAAATCCCCCGCCTCGGCACAGAGTCTTAACCACAAGGAGTATCGGAGTCGTGGGCAAGGAATTCATTTATGGAAAACAATGTGGCCAACCCTTGTAGCAGAGGGTCATCTCTGACATTCTGGGCTTCTCAACGCTTTCCCAAAGGAGCATCGGAGCAGCGACTCGATGATTGTATCAACATGAGGGCAACCACCGACAGATCCGCGAATACAGAGATATAAAACATGGAAATACCCATTCGTTCTATGGATAGTATCAACCTCTTTCCCATCAACTTATCGCTCTGCACTTTCTACACTATTCTCTCAACATGGTTGCCCCGAAGCTTCTCGCTTTCCAGAGTCTTGCTGGAACGGCCCTTGCACACAGGGTCCTTCTTCGAGGGGGTACAATTATAGGTTGGGATGAGGCCACTTCGTCGATCCAGGTCACCCGAGATGGCTCGCTACTCATCACTGACGACCGCATCACGAACATATATGAAAAGGGCCAGGAGCCAACCATTGCCCCATCCAACGAAACTCAAGTCGTCGATGTACACGGCGGCATCATCACTCCAGGCTTTGTTGACACCCATGCCCACCGCTGGCAAACGGCCTATCGCACAATCGGGTCCAACACTACCCTCTGGGAGTACTTTGCTCGCTACGGGGAGTTTGCGTCCGAGGGGCTCGTGGAGCCCGAGGACGTCTACATCGGAGAGCTCATGGGGCTGTTGGAAAGCATCAATGCAGGCACAACCACCACTCTCGACCACGCGCATCACACTTGGTCCGTGGACACGGCCAAGTCGGGACTGGATGCCACCATTGACAGCGGCGCAAGAGTGTTTTGGTCGTACGTCATACATCAGCTGCAAAACTTCACCATCGATGATCAGTTCGCCAACTTCCGAGCCCTTGCCGAGTCTGATGCCTTTGACGGCACCACGGTCAACCTAGGTCTGGCTTTTGATGGCTTTGGTGGCCTTGGCGAGGATCCGGCGCTTACTGCGCAGGTGGTCGAGGCCGCTTTGTAAGTTGATCTATTGGCCGCGGATTAGAAGTTGACGCCGCTGACATCTCATCTGCAGGAAATACAACGTCTCCGTTTTTACTACACATTACGTAGGCGGTGTTTGGGGGGGTAGGTGATCCAGACGTTACCATCAGGCATTCCGGACACTGATTCGCAGATTCACAGCTTTCAACACACCTCGTCGGCTCCTGGAGGCTGGACTGCTCAACACCAGCATACCCGTCGTCTTCTCCCACTCCGTCCAACTCAATAATGAAGATGCCCTGCTTCTGCGACAAACCAATCAGTACTATTCAACAACCCCCGAATCAGAGTGGCACTATGGCATGACAAACCCCACCTCGCACAGGTTTCTGGACCAAGGCTCCCTCGGCCTTGACACGCACTGGACATTCTCCATCGACCTCCTGACCCAGGCTCGCATGTGGCTGCAGCATGTGCGGGCTGTACTCACTGGGGGGCCGCAGGACGTGGGACGAGTTCCTGCCAACAACCCCATGTCCGTCAACCAAGCCTTCCTCCTCGCCACGCGCAACGGAGGACTGGCCCTGAGGAGACCCGATCTCGGCGTCATCGCTCCTGGAGCCAAGGCGGACGTGGTGGTCTGGAACGGCCAGAGCCGCGGGCTGCTCGGGTGGTCCGACCCTGTGGCGGCCGTCATGCTTCATGCCAATGTGGGAGATGTTCAACATGTTCTCATCGACGGGAAATTCCGCAAGGTCGATGGAATACTCACTATTGAAGGCCTCGAGCAGTTAGATCGGCGGTTCCTGAAAAGTGCGCAAAGATTGAAGGCCGTTTTCAAGAATATTCCGTACCCAGTTGGCGGGGAATTCTTTGATGCTTCAGGGACAGGCTTTGGATATATCGAACAGGTCGATGTCCTCCGTGGCAAGGGCAATGGCTACGGCGAGCAGTTTGTCTAGACAATCTTCACATGAGCTAGCGACATTGGGCCCGCAAAGCCTAATCCGCCTTTTGTATCCATTGTGTTGACCGTCAGTATGGAGTCTTCCTTGTTGTCTTTCACTATGGGTTGGCCCCTTCTTTCTCATTCATCCGAGTACACGAGAAATAAAGCCAAGGTAACAATCAAACCATCTATTCAAACTTTTCACAGCCCTTTAAGCATGAAGCGTGCTCCAAGTGGCCTCGGCTTTAGCCTTGGCTTTCTTTACCTACGTATTCTCAGGGAGAATCTGTAGACTGAGCCAAGGGTTTCTTTTTAATGAAGAATCCACTAGCAAATGTGAGACCAGCTACAGCGGTGTAAAAAGACCACATTATATGCAACGCCTGGATGTATGTCTCCTTGTCCACCACCTGTGTCGAGTCTATATTTTCCTCTTCTAGAGTAATATTTCCACTGCCGATAGTCCGCTGGATCAGGACTGTTCCAATGACAATGGAAATAGAACTGAAAAGGCTTCGAAGAAAGTTAAAAGCTGCCATAGCTGCTGCTGTGTCTCGTTGGCGGAGATGGTTTTGCAAGGCAATCATGGGGCTTTGGAACATTGTTCCTGCTCCACTCCCAGCAAGTATCTGAAATATGATAATATTGGACCAGTTTCTTGATTCATCCAACAGAATAAAGAGGCCGTTTCCCAAACACATCAATGCTGACCCAAGAATAATCAGTATATCGTATCTTCCTGTCCTCCTGATTATGTACCCTCCACTCATTGTCATAGCTGAGAGTGGAAGAATCAGTGCAAACAAAGTTATTCCAGAGATCAGTGGCTTCATATCCAAGATAATCTGAAAATACAAGGGCAAGAAGAAATCGAAGGATATGAAGACAAACGAATGTAGGCATGCAACAACAAAGGCAGCAATGTTGGTACCCTTCTGAAATATCCTGAAGGGGATGGTGGGTGATGTAGCAAACTTGGCTTCCCAGACCACAAACAAGGCCAAAAGCAGCGCCCCGGAAAGTATAAGACAGATTACTTTGGGCGACTTCCAAGGAGATAGGCCACCGGAACCGATTTCTAATCCATATAGGAAGGAGATAGTTCCCCCAATAACCAAGATGAAGCCTGCCCAATCGATATCCCGAATGCCTTCGGCGAACTGGCTCTTTCGAGTATCAACTTTTAGGAAGAAGAAAAGGACAAGAAGTGCTATTCCATCCAGAGGAAGGTTTATATAAACTTCAGAAGTAGTTAGTTTCACCCAGATAAATTATATAGCTCGGAAAGAGGGTAACGTACAGCACCACCGCCAGCCTATCGACTGGGTGAATATCCCACCCAGGAGGGGTCCAATTGCACTGGAAACGCCCCAAACAGCGCCAGTCATGCCGTAATATTTAGCACGGTCTTCCAAACTAAATATATCGCCAATAACGATTGTCACGAGGACCAGAGAGCCTCCGCCTCCCAGACCCTGGATCACACGCCCCCCAATTAACATATTGCTGGACGATGCAAGCGCACAAATAAGGCTTCCGGCCATGAAAGTAGCAGCTGCGGCCATAATGGTACTTTTACGATCAGATATATCGGATGCCTTGCTCCATATAAGCATTGAAGCTGTATTTGCAAGGTTATAGCCTCCTCCTATCCAAGCATATTGCTGAGTTGTAGTGCCCAGACTTTTGGCGATACTAGGCAGAGCCGTGGTGACAATTGTGATGTCTAAAGCTCCGAGGAACAGTGTGAGGCAGAGAGAGAACATCACAAGTCGCCGCTGCCAACGCTTCATCGCCGGCGGGGAGAAAGACGTGTTTGTTGATGATGGTCGAAGTCTTTCATTGTGGCAAGCTTCTTTGGACGATATGTCGTGTTGTGGCTTCCCCATCGTCTGGGCAGCTGTGTTCGAGCTCGCAATGCTGGCTGACATGATTCTTCGTCAAAGGTTCGATTTGAAACCTACCATCAATCCAAGTAGAGAATATTTAATATTTCTTCAAGTGAAATCTTAATATTATGACTAAATTGCAGCAGATTTCTTTTGGCATATGTGTAAGGTAGACGTCGGTTCGGTGTCGGTTCGGGCTCGCCCACCACATCCTGCTACCCCTATGTGCTAATTCGTCAGATTCGCGACAAAGAGCACCGTAAACTTATAGGAAAATGCTCTTTAAATTCATACGCTCGACCCAAACAAATGAAATGAAACGAATTTGGTACTGTACATGGTGAAATAGGTACCCGTATACATGTAGTCTTCTTCTCTCTCCTCAACATTCAACATGCCTTATCCATTCAACTTAAGTGTGCTGACTAGACATGTTGCCAAGCCCAATTGAAGGCGGAGCAATCACTTGGAAAGCCGTATATTTTCAGCCCTGATAAATGGGATCCTTATGGAGAAATTAATACAAACAGCACTCTCGACTTGAGCCACCATAAATCAACTCGCTACTCGTCTCCAGTTGTGTATACAGGTCGCTTTCTTCAAGATTGATTGCTGTAATATCTTCGAGATGTTTCTTTTGTGCTTTGTTTCTCTTCTGTGTTGGTCTTGAGCAAAATTGTCGATTTGGTTGGTGGGTGAGAAGTGCTCGGCGGTTCGGTATGAAGGTCTTGCCAGGCTGTGAAGAGTGTTCTACCCAAGTGCATGGAAATGGTGTGTGATGGTGGCATCTTTAATCCTTAAGTCATATAACAATATAGGTTTTCTTTCAGCGAGGATCAAAAGTTTGATACTCCACTAGACACAAGACATGATCGTTTGTTCATTGACTTGGAATTGATACTAAATAAGACCATGGGAAGAAACACATGCATCCCCAGAGGTATCTTACCCCAGCTTCTCTCTTAGTCAATTCATGATATCATTGGCTGGGCACAAAAAATCATCCCATTTTCTCGGTTCGGCTCGGGAGGAGAACCCGGGCGGAGGTCCATTTCCCGAGACCATCCATCCAGTCGAGAAGGATCAAAGCATCAACAACACATTAAAACTTGAAAGAATGCAAAAGATTAGTCCTTAAAAGATGCAATGGCATTGAATATGTAACAGTATGTAAGTAAAATCAAGTGCTCTACGCTTTTGCTTTTAGACGCTATGCAGTGAACCCCGGTTAGTTGCCTTGTCTACGGCGGTCAGCAACGTGCATTGTGATAATTCCAGTGGTATGCATCCAAAAGTCCATAAAAATGCAGGCCCGCTCCAACGACCACAAAGCAATGAAATATCTGGTGGGAAGTTCCCCAGATGTGGAACCTCTCAGGCCATCTCGACTCCGGAAAGTGCGTCTACCCTCATCAGCAGGGACGTTCTGCGAATTGCGAAAGAAGATCAACGATGGAAAGGGGAATGGAGCTGCATACCGCATAAAAGTAGACACCAGAGGCCATGGCAACGCCCTCTGCGTAATAAAACCGCAATCCAGTTTGTTTGTCCAGCTGCCAGTATGGGAACATGGTAGCCGCATGGATGATGGGCGCGAGGGCAGAGAAGCCCGTGGCAACTAGGGTGAGCAGCCGGAGAAGTCGCCATTTGGTACTATCCAGATCGGTGAGAACATTAACGGCCCCGGAGAAGGTTCCAAGTACTACGATCTAAGAGCGGCGTGGGGATTAGCATACCGGAAGGGGGCGTCTGGTTAGCAATGGTGAAGAGTTGGAGCACAAACCATGACCCAATAGGTCTTTTGCAGTGTCGGCTCACAGTAAAAGCCCATGTAAAGCCCCGATACCACGGAACCGATGATCTGGAACACGATTGCAATGAGGTCCAGCCTAACCCAGGCTATGGCATATCCTTCGGAATGGCACACGAGCGTGTGGTACACGGAACTTATGCCAAAGCAGAAGATGGTGGTTGTGAGATAGATTTGGAAGATGACTTCATCCTGCCAGATAGCTTTCGGGTAGTTTGATAAGAAGAAGGCATGGAAGAAGAAGCTCGCGGTCAGGGAGACTAGTGCCGGGACCAAATGAGTGTAAATGTTAACAGTCTCGTTGTGGAGATATGCGAGACTCTGTACGCAGCGGGAGACGGACTGGGTGACAGGCCGGTAGCCGGAACGAACGAAACTGTTGTTGGAGTACCAGGAGGGGATTTCGGTGACGGAGAGAAGACGGGGAGGGTAGGAGTCAAAATAATGTCTCATTCCGTGCTTGCCGGAGTTTATTGATGAGGTGCCGGGCTTACGGCGTCGAACAGTCATGATTGGGATTAGATGAAGACAAGAGTGTGGAATAAGCACAGAACATATGTCACGTCAAAAATATTCCGGGCCAAAGAGAAGTGTGCAAGATCAGTATGTACTTGAGAGCAGTGATTATTCAAGTGAGGGGATGGCCTCGTGGGCAGATGATGAGAGGAAGCGGAGCTGACGCATTGGCGCTCTTAGCGCTCAATGGCTGAACGGATCTCTGAGTGGAGGTTTGCCTGAATATGTGATTAGTTGCTGTCACTCGTTCAAGTAGCACTGAGGTGGTAGCAGCCAAATCAAGAGTTACGGGTCGGGTCAAGTCAGCTATTGGGTGGAGGCTGCAGGTTCGCTTCTCTTATCTTGTTGTCTCTCCCCTCGTTGTTCTCGTCAATTGAGTCTTTCGACATTCCTCTCTGGTCTCACTTACAAGTCACGTGAGGGGTTACGTAGGCTCACGCAACTTGCTGAGATAAGCATGCATGAATTCCTCGCAGGCGCAGAACACCGGCAACCAGGAAAAAGAAAGTTCAATCCGGTCGCTCAGCAACCCGGTCGCAGTTGTGAAACATGGCGCGGTGACTCCGGTGAGAAGTCCTGCAGGCGCAAGCGGAAAGGGTCTGATTCGGAAGCAATTGAAGTCCCAGAACATCAACCCCGGAAAAAAACACGTCGCCCTGGATTGAACTCCCGCGTGCGGAAGACGCCAGAAATTGGAGACAGGGGACCAAACCCGCCACGAATACCAAGTCGGACAGCAATGCAGGTAACATGACTACGGGTTCAATTCACTTTGGGGGAAGCGCACGACGAACAACCTTTGAGGCTAAATACGTTCTCCATTGTAGGTGTAGGCCCTATGGTGAGCCTGATGCTATGTAATAATCGACCCCAATCTCCTCCTGTATATTATCATGACAAGTGCTTGTCTCATTAAGTGTATCCCAAAATTCCCAGCATTATTTCTTTCGTATCGCACCCGTATGTATCAATTCCATTACAGAGCAAGAGCAGCGGCGAGCAGGGCAGCACCAGCGCCGATGGTGAGCTTGCCAACACCGCTGCCAGAATCGCTGGTGGCGGAAGCTGAGGCGCTCTCGGTGGAAGAGCCAGTAGCAGAGCCGGAGGCGGAACCGGAGGAGGATTCGCTCTGGGTAGCGGAGGCAGACTCGGAGCCGGAAGAAGAGTCAGTGGCGCTGGCGCTGGCGCTGGTTACGCCGCTGGTGACGGAGCCAGAGCCGCTGGCAGAGGAGGCAGCGGAGCCAGTCGAGGAGCCGATGGGGGCGGTTCCAGTGGCGGAGGCAGAGCCAGAAGCTGAGCCAGAGGCAGAGCCAGATCCAGAAGCAGAGGCTGAGCCGGAGGCTGAGCCAGACTGGGAGACACCGTTGGAAACGGATGGGAGAGGGACGACACTGGTCTGCAGGGTGTTCTGGCCAGGCCAGGACAGGGAGATGCCGTCCCAAGAAGTGATGAGGATGGGCTGAGCAGGAATCGAGGTGACAACAGCAGGCTGTGAGGTGACGACGGCAGGCTGGGAGGTGACGAGAGCGGGCTGCGAAGTCTCCTGAGCACTGACAATGCCAGCGGCAGCAAGGGCAAAGATGGCGGTCTTCATATTGACGTTTATTAGGGACTTTTGCGTCTTGTTGGAGGAGAGGCTTGTCTGCTGATTGAGTAGAGCGGGATGAAGAAGACCGAAGAGCGGAATGCGGAGGAGGAGATTTAAATCTGTCGACGCAGAGCTGGTTTAATACTGCAGACGGACATGGCTGAGCCAGGCGTCGCGGGGGTCTTTCGTGTTATTGTGTCTCAGTGCTTGGACCTATCATCCTGCACGTCCTGGTCGTTGCTTGGCGTGACGTGGATTCACTCCACCCACCAACATCAGGATCAGCAGCCAAGCCAGGCACAGCAGCACCACAAGTGCGCCGGTCCAGCCACCAACTCGGCTGAGCATCCTGTGCTCACCTCTTTCCAGTTACTCATGTTCTCACATCCACCGCCGATCATATACTTAGACGAGTTGGCGAGTGCACAATACGATACCAGCAACAGCAGACCGCTGCCTGGTGGTTCGTATTGTGGCAATCGGCACCCAAACCCAGTACCGTGAGACGGTTGGTACAGGAATAGACGTCGTATTACACCATACCAGCATGGGGTACTCCTCTCAGACCTGGGGTCAGTCACATCATAAAGACCAGGGCAGAGCAAGGCAGCGCCAGTTCAACAAACAGACCCCTGGCTACCTGAACAAGGACCTGTCTTGGCCAGAACCAGTTAAGCCGAACTGCCTTTTACCGTACGCACGTACCACGTATCACACAGTGGAGATTGCGATCAGAGGAAGCTGAAAGAAAATATTCTGCATGGCGGAATGCAGTGCGGCGGCAGCGGCCACACACCACAATGTCTAATTATGGATATGCACGGGGGAAGTCTGTTTGAGCCGGTTACATACTAATATGCTTTAGGCCGAAAGTATGTCAGGAGGTATGCAGTAATCAAGTAATCTAAAGACAGTGCACAGTGAGGTGCAGGCATGTCTCTGGTGTGTGTGCCAACTCGGAAATTACCCCCAACGTACTGTGTGAGCTGCCATTCTCCCCACCTAGATGCATCGCAGCCAGCAAGCACCTCGTATTATTGCCGCCGGCCCGTCAATAACACATTCATGCGGAGGCGGCAGTGAGCCTTACCCTGGTGCCACTTGGGTGCCATTGGCTAAGTCCAGGGCAGGGACCGCCCTACAAGGATCGCAGAGATTGATGCCAACTACGACAGCAGCACATGAAATGGCGAAGCTGCCAGGGTAATGGTGCAAGGTGGTACAATTGATCCGGGAGGAGCAGGCTCTGTCCCAGGTTTTCCATTGGGATCGGGCAAGCATATGTTTATCTTCAAAAACCCCAGCTCCTACGAACGTCATTGTGGCAAGGGGTAGAAGCAGGCTGCTACAACAAATGCCGTTATTTCCCATGGTTCGTTTTCCCCCCTTTTCGATGGTGTTGATGGTGTGCTGAATTGATTTCTGGTCTGGTCTGCTCTGATAACAGTGCCAAGACTGATGGCTCGCTCGTACCCCAACTTAAAATCTTGCACCAAAGCCAAAAATTAATTGAAGAAGAACAAATTGCAAAATATCCTCAAACTCTCTGCGCTCTCTGACCCAAGTTCTTCCATCGTGGAGGCCTCGCACTGACCACAGCCTGAAATAATTAGGCTTCCGTAATCCGGAGTATTATATCCTTATTTTCGTCTTGACTCCTCTTTGGGCCATTGTTCGGGTTAACATTCTTCCAGCATCCCGCTTACGTATGCCCCAACTACTTACCCTAAACCATCTCTCACAGCACAAGAGAATCATCCCGAGTGCTACCAAAATCTTGTTGATTGGTATGAATAATTGCTAATTAGTATAAATAAAGCAACAGGAAGTCACTCTCTATAACTCATTGTCATAATTTTATAGCATGGCGTTTTCTGATTTTGTAGCTCACTCAACGCATCTTAGAGTCTTGTTTGAAGAGAACATCAGATTGATTCACTCCCGAATCGGGCATAAAGTCGTCCATCGTGTCCATGAATATTCAGTCAAGAAATGCTTAATCAAAAAAATACTATGAAATTCCAACGCCTCCAACAAAGAGTTTCCACTCATACAATGTAGATTCAAAGATTAATGGAATTTGAAGATCTATGACTCATGGTTCATGAGTTTAAGGCACTACTCCGAATCGCGTCCAAACAGATTACCCAAATGGGAAAAAATACTCCGTAACCCTGAGCTTTCCCCAAACGATGTGAGTCAATCGATGTTTGTAATGGGCGACTTGATATCGCCATGTTTGATTACCAATCCAATCACGCTGCAATCGCTCCTTCGTCACGCCCAAACACTTGAGCCTGCATCGGCGTGGGTCCCTGAGTGAATCGGTCATTGGTCGCCCTTTTAATGATATTTCCGGAGCGTCGTGATAAAGCACCACTCCGGAGCTTTATCCGAGCGAACTCGCTATGTGTGGAGCTACTGAATGAACATGCAGTATTTGAAAGGCTGATATTTAATCCCCACTCGCACGCCATCCCTATTTGTCAGAATAGAGACAGCTACCAATTTTTCCTTCGCGTTGAGCCTTGCTTCGACTTGCAAGTTGCACTGACAATGCAGTCCTACCTCCAAAACAAGCGCCTCGGCGTTTTGGTGGAAAGTTATCTTCAACAGGCTCAGGAAGAAGTTGACCGGCGGCAGGTGACGCCAGGTTTGGAAAAAGGAGAGCAAGCGAGAAGCGATGCCAAGGTGCCGGCTGCCAGCATCCAGACGCCAGTTGATAATAACCAGCGGACTTCTGGTCAAAAATCACTCCCCACTTCGTCGTCCCTCGTTAGGGAACTGCGTGGTGTGGTAGAGCAAACTCGATCATTGGCAGATGGGTCAACCGAGCAAATATTACTGGTAGACTGGGAGGGGCCTGACGACCCGATGTGTGCTCGAAACTGGAGTGTAAGCAAGCGTGCTTTGGCTACGGCTCAGATCTCACTCATCGGATTTGCTGTTGGAGCAACGTCGGGGATCGATGCGACTATCATCCCACAAGCTGCAAAGGAGTTCGGTGTGAGCCAGGTTGTAGAATCTGTTGCTATAGGTATGTTTTCTATCTGTGACACACCTTCTAAAGGTTATTTGCTGACATGAGTTATGATATAAAAGGGGTGTATTTGATAGGGATTGGCACTGGCTCGCTTGTCGCAGGACCTTTCTCTGAAACTTTCGGGAGAAACGCCGTATACGTCGTGTCGATGATTGTATTCATGTGTTGGATTTTAGGCACAGCTTTGGCTCCTAACATTGCTGCCCAGATCGTTTTCCGATTTCTCGCTGGGTGTTCCTCGTCTACTCCTATGGTTTGCTCTGGAGGATCTGTCGCCGATATGTGGAACAGCTTGGAGAAGACTTGGAGTTTCCCCTACTATACAACGCTGTCGTTTGTGGGGCCGATGGTGGGATCGATCATGGGGGCATACATTGGACCATCTTCTCATATTCTGAGTTGGCGTTGGGCTGAATGGGTAATTCTCATTCTTTCAGGTCTCGTTCTCATCTCTGTCGTGGTTACGATGCCTGAAACCTACGGGCCATTGATTCTGGAGTGGAAGGCTACCCACTACCGTCGAATTACAGGAGATTCGCGTTTCCGCTCCGAACATGAGATTGAAGACTCGACCTTGTTCAGTCGTTTGAGAGTGAGCATGACCCGACCATTTCTAATGATAACGGAACCAATCATCATAGCCATGACGATGTACCTATCAGTTCTCTATATTGTGCTCTTCACATTTTTGGTGGGTTGGCCATACATTTTCGAACGCACCTATGGTATTGATCAAGGTTTGGCACATATCATCTTCATCTCTATGATGATAGGGACTGTGAGTCCCGCACTTTTGGTCCCATTCGTTTACAGGAAGACGGCCAAGGTTATAAAGCAAGCTCAATCACAGGCCGAAGGCGGAAACAAAAATGCGAGATTCCATCCCGAGATTCGTTTGTGGTACGGCATGCTCGGTCCTGCAGTGGCCGTCCCAGTATCCTTATTTTGGATGGGTTGGACTAGCTATTCCCACATCAGCATCTGGTCACCAATCATAGCATCCGCCTTTTTTGGGTTTGGAGTCACGGGAATCTTCATTTGCGCATACATGTACATCATTGACTCCTATGAGAGTTACTCTGCCTCAGCGCTCACTTTTGTGGCATTGACTCGATATGTCATTGCCGGAGGGATGACTGTAGTTGGCATCCCATTCTACGAAAAGATGGGCACGCACTACACGCTGACAATTATGGGTTCAATTTCAGTTCTCCTCATGCCTATCCCCTACTTACTCTACTTCTTTGGACACCGTTTGAGAGAGAAGAGTAAGTATGCGGTTGCGTTGGACTGATCAAGCTTACCGAGCGGAAAAGAGGGCCAAGATGCTTTAGAAGCTACGCCCGCTGTCGGCCCAAATAAAAGGCATTGGTTCAACTCCCTGGTTTTGGCCTTATAAGTGATGAGAGAGATGCTCTTCTCTTTGCCAAGTCGGCTTGAAAAGTGTCGAGGTAATATGCAGTTATAGATGCAATATCAAAATACCCATGACATCTAACAGATAAAAAGACTGTCTCAAAATGAACCATTGACTCCCCTGCTGATACTAGTTGTGCAAGTATACCACATTCAGCCAAGATTCACAGGTTGGAGGCCGTTAGTAGCGTGTTGTGGAGAAGTGCCTGACAAGTATCGATCCAAGTTCTCCTCTGAGACCCAAAAGGCTCTCTCCTACTTCCCGAGCGACTGGCCCGAGGTTGAATTCATTCCCCTCAACGCCTACATCTCAGGCTGGATGTTCCCTCTCCTCCAGCAGCTTTTCGACGGTAAGAAGTATACCAGTCTCACTGGTGCCCTTGTTGCTCCTCTTTCGCGTGGCAACATCACCCTGCAGTCGGCAGACACATCCGACTACCCTCTGATAAACCCCAACTTCCTGGGTGATAAGAGTGATCAGGAAGTTGCTGTTGCCCTCTACCGCCGTCTCCGAGAGGTCGCTCGAGCGGACGTCTTGAAGATCGTTGTTAGCGCAGAAGCCTATCCTGGTGCTGAATACCAAACCGACAAGGAGATTTTATCTGTTCTCCGCAGTGGCACGATGACCGTGTGGTATGCCGCCTGCACTTGCAAGATGGGCAAGCCCACTGACAAGATGGCCGTCATCTACTCAAAGGCCCGTGTCTTCGGTGTCAAAGGCTTGCGAGTCGTTGATGCTTCCGCTTTCCCCGTTCTCATTCCCGGACACCCCCAAGGCACCCTTTGTGCCCGGGCCGAGATGATCGCATAAGAAATCATTAATCGAAACTAGAATTCCGCCTCTCACCGAATTTTCCTTGTTTGTATGGTAAAAGTATATACGCTAATCACATATAATATTCAATAAAACATTCATCATCAAGAACCATCTCAATAATTCGTGTTCGATAAACTGCATCTAGGGTATCAAATTGCAAAGGAACACCGCTGAACGATTTGAAACCGTAAAACACCATCAGTCATAAACCTATGTTCCCAAACTAGTCGTCGTGCCCAAAGGCCAACACGAAACTGGACGTCAGTTCACTCGCCAGGACCAGCTCGCGGAACAGGAAATCCTCTCCCGTCCCATACTTGAACGTGATGATGGACGTCTTCTTCAGGGCAATCTTGGACTGCACGTGGACAAGAGGCTCGAAGCACTCATCGAGCATCTTGCCCGTCTTGGACCCCGGCTGCGGCCACTCGCGCTTCACCTCGCACAGCACCGTCTCGAACTTGCTGGTCCCATTCTTCCAGACGAAGTTGCGGCCTCCCCACGTGAATCGCCGCGGTGTCCACAGCACATGCTTGTTGCGATCTGGCTTGTCGACGACCGGTATAGGGGAGGAGGTGTAGTGGGTGAGCTGGCGCCCGATCCCGCCGTCTAGCGAGCTGCCCGTGCTCTGCACCGGGTTCACGATGGTCTGCACGCAGGGCGAGGTGAATTCCGTTGCGCGCGAGAGCACGGTCTGGCTGACCTGGTAGCGGCGACGTTTCAGGCCCTGGAGGACGTAGAGAGTCTGTCGCTCTTCCGCGTCTTTGACCTTGAAGTAGTACCAGCGCCCAGAGGTGAAGACATTCTCTGAGCTGATATACACGTGGAAAACTGTGTCGGGCGCGCTCTTGTCGAGTGCAGGGGTGTAGAAGGGAATAGAACGCGTGGCACCATCTTGACCCAACGTGACCACATGCTGGATCTCAGGGTTCACGATGTTGGGGTGAGCTTTTGCGTTGGCTAGGAAGATCGCGATGGTGTTCTTGGGGTTTGCTACGACGCCCTTTGGCGAGGTAGTCTGTGCTTGGTCGTGAAAGGGCTTCAGGGTCTTGGATAGCAGCACCTCATCCAGACTCAGGCTCGTCCGTCCATTATTCAGGGCGGCCAGGCTGTCGCGCGCACCGATCGACGAAGGTAGAACGACATCAAGCCCTGACTTTTGACCGCTCAGGATCTGCTGCATCAGCAGCCGCCGCGAAGTATGATACTTGACTTGCTTGCGCGCTACTCTCTTTCTCTCGCGGTCGAGGAACTTGGCGTCGTCAGCAAGCTGGTTTAATGCGACGATGGCCCTGCCATGCTGGTCGAAGGCCTCTTGGAACCGGGAGTAGTGCTCGGCCTCGAAGGCCAGCCGACAAAGCTCGGCTACCTGCTGGTCCGTTTGCTGGGCTGCAGCTTCAGCCATACTAAATCACAGATAATCTTGGGTGTAGAAAGTAAATGGTAGGAAATGTAGCGTATAAATGAATCGCTGGTCAAGGGTTTGAAGGTCAGATTTGAGGCCAGGCAGCGGTGAAAAGAAGGCGACTTTCGGGGCTGTGCTCGAAATAAGAAAATTACGGTTACTGAGGCCTCCCCATCGCACAATCAGTTGATCCTCCCGGCCAACCTGATCTGGATAAGCTTAAAGAAAATGAGCGGGGTGTGGCCCTGTTAAACATGTATACGAAAGATACGAAGACGCCATCACCTGTCATTACGTTGATTCCATGCTGCCAGCGAGCATGTCAAGTTTGATATGAAAGAGTCTTACACTGATCTGCCACGTATAGAAACAACTCACGCGATCCGGGAGACCGCCGAAGGATCCAACGTTTACCAAAGTGTGAAGTGACCACCCCGGCCCCTGTCCGCAGATTCCAGCGATGTGGAACATCCTGTGCTGACAAACTAATTAAGCTCTGAAATCATGCAAGGCACTCATGTCTTTTTCAATCAAAGAAGGGTTTGGAAATGCGGCTAATGTCTTTGCAGGTTGGGAACACGGTTTCAAAATTGAGGGAATTTTTTTCGCACAAGTAATGGTGGGATGCAAATTGATTGCATCATATTGCCATGATACTCCGTCCAATTTATGACGACAGGCAAAATACTGCATTTTTGCAGCTCAGCTTGACTCTGAAGAGCGGGCCGGCCTGAAATACATTTGACATTATTTCATCGGCTTGGAGAAGAAGCATGTTCCTAAAGGATATCCTCCCAATGACAAGGCTTATTTCAAACTGGCCGACTCGGAGCTGAGCATATTGTGAAGGTCGAGCAGACAGTATTAATAAGCAAACCACAGCTCTCTAGTGATCCGGGCGACATTGGCTTCGGCCACTTCCTGCTAAATTCAGGAAGAAATGACGGGGGAAGATCCTGGGGGCTACAACGCAAGTGGAGATTGTCTGGGGTATTATGCATCAAAGATCCAGTTATCACAGCGTCTGCAACTTGATTGCATTGGACACATGGCTGCCTTCATAGTTCAAGTGCGGGGAAGCCTGAGAGCTATAGTTGCCAAGTGTTTCCAAGGAATCGGAATAGTCTTTTCTAGCGGCGCAAGTTTAAAGAAAGCTGGCTAAGCGGGAGCCAAGGATGGTGATGACTTGGATGCATCCACTGCTGGATCACATGTTCTGGCCACGAACTCTTCATCGGACGGCCATGTCGCTCTAGAATAAGGTTCGATGTAAACTAATTTGCTACGTAGGTCGCTTTAGGATCATCGTTAGGGCCATGGATTAAGTTATCCTCCCCCGCAGTTTGGTAAATTAATGCATGCTGGTTCCAGAGCGCTCTAATCGGAATCGAAGTCATGCATCGCGGATTCGGAATGAGGTGTGCATGAGTGATTCCGTTGAGTGTGTAGTAGCAATTGCAACATAGTTTGCTAGGCATTCCCTTGCCAGTTATTACAAAAGACGACATTCTCCATCCTAAGTTGTTTCAGAATGTTCGTTTGATATCCTAAAGTGAAGTTTTGCCTGCAACAAGACAATTGAACAGAACAAGAGCAACTTGGTGCAATTTTTATCATGGACGGTTCCAATGAGAAGGCACAAGATACCCACGAGGTCGACCAGTAAGCAAACTGACCTCTTGAGATACTGAAAGATTGGTGTTTTCTAACAAGGATTTCAACAGGATCGAGATCGCCTCATCGACACCATACCTTGACCGTAACGAAGAACGCCGTCTATGTCGAAAGATCGACCTTGTCATCATGCCAACAGTCTGCCTGCTGTTCCTCGCATGTGTTATCGACCGTGCCAATATTGGTACTTCTCCCTTACTTAGAAACTACTGTTTTACGCTCTCACTTACTCAACGTTGGTGGCAGGTAACGCTCGGATTGCAGGCTTCGAAAAGGATCTGGGCATGGCTGGTACTGATTACAACGCCACCCTGTCCCTCTTCTTCGTTTCATATATCGTATTCGAGATCCCTTGTAACATCCTCTGCAAGATTATCGGCCCTGGCTGGTTTCTCCCCGCGATGACCGTCATGTTCGGCATATGCTCGATTTGCAACGGCTTAGTAACAACAAAGGCACAAGCTATGGGTGTCCGCTTCATCCTTGGCCTGTTTGAGGCTGGAATGCTGCCCGGAATTGCGTATTACCTCTCCCGCTGGTATCGTCGTGATGAGCTCTCATTCCGCCTGGCATGCTACATCGTCATGAGTCCACTAGCGGGTGCAACGGGAGCTTTGCTGGCATCAGCGATCCTAACGCTAGACAACTTTGCTGGACTTCATACCTGGCGAATGATCTTCGTTATCGAAGGGATTGCTACCACTGGAATCGGCCTGATTGCTTTCCTTACGCTGACGGATAGCCCCTCCAGCGCTCGCTGGCTTACACAGAGTCAAAAGGAGCTCGCCGAGGCGCGTCTACGTTCAGAGCGTGTTGGGCAGACTAAAGTCCTGGATAAGATCGATAAAATCAAGCTGCGACGGGGTATTCTCAATCCTATCACGCTTACTACGTCCGTTGTGTTCTTTCTCGGAAGCATCACAGCTCAGGGGTTCAGCGTGTTCGCTCCCACAGTCGTCCGAAGTATTTTCAGTGACAGGACTGTGGTCCAGCAGCAGCTTCTCACAGCCCCTCCCTATTTCTTTGGCGCTGTATGTACATTCTTGGTTGGGTTCGTCAGTTGGAAAACAGATCGCAGGCAAATCATCCTAGTGCTCTCTACACCTACCGCTATCATCGGGTATATTATATTCCTCGCGACCGACAACCAGATCGCCCGATACGCAGCAACTTACATTATCGCCTCCCTCATATTCCTCTGCGGAGCTATTTGCAATGGGCAAATTTCGGCCAACGTGGTGTCCGATACAGCAAGGTCCTCGGCCATTGGGTGGAATGTCATGATCGGCAATATAGGTGGTCTTGTATCGACTTGGTCTTTTTTATCTTGGGATGGGCCCAACTTTCCCATCGGAAATGGTCTCAATTTGGCTTCTAATGTTTGTTTTCTTATCATCACAGTGTGCACCCTCTTTTGGATGAAGAAAGATAATAGACGGAGAGATATGGAACAAGAAGCAGGAGAGGCTCAGCTCGAGGGCATGACTGAGCAGGAGATTGAGGACTTGGATTGGAAGCATCCTTCTTTCCGGTGGAAGGTTTAGGTTACTCGAGTTTGTCATTCGAGTCGTAAGCGTGTTTAGCTTGAGATCCATTCCTGTACACCATTAATGCTAAGATTCATTGAGGCTATAACAGCGGGCTATCGATTTCACATGATGGTTTAATAAGTGCCGAGGAGATCCAGCTTATCATCAGTGGTCACTTCTCGCATTTTCCTATGCAATTGAATATCCAATTGACCTACTCTGGATAAATGTTAGACTTGCCTTTCGGCCATATCTCGTTTTGTATTAAACTCACCTAGTGGTCAAGGTTGAACACAATATAGCATATAGAAAGACCCCTGGAGCTTTAAGGTAATGGAAGGTCACCACTGATTGGTATCCATCATCTTCCTGCCCTCATTCGCCCGCATAAACCCTCCCCCACTGGACCTTATCGACATATTAACCAACGACCCTGACATCATGATATCATTCGAGGCAACGTTGCAATAGGTTCGGTGAGGGGTAAGTGGGAATTATCCGGTCATCACCCCCGAAGTGGAATGTTTATGGCCTATGAGAGCATTCAGTTGAAAAGTAAAGACATATCTACTGACCCATTCCTCCACAAATCCCTTGCTGAGTAGACATTTTGGGCGATCAATTGCATTGATAATGCACCAATGACCTAACTAAAATCAAGGAAGGTAGCTGAATGAACCGTCGGCTATTTGATGATGAGAAAATGTGGGAAAATATCAATGATAAACATCAGGTGTTAATCACTTTGTCCAAAGGCCACATGGAATGAGTCTTATTTCAGTCCCGGCCCAGTGATCATTTTGCTTCATTGGATCCGCCAAACTGGCCGTCATGAAACGATTTTTAAGGGGCATTCTTGCCCTGGCTCTTCAGTCTTCGGTTGCTCTCGGGAACAATTGTGATACGAGTAAATCAGTTCGCCTTGATCTCAAAGACTTCTTCAACAACAAAGCTTTCGGTTCCAAACCTGGAGAGGCCGACTTTGACTCGAAAGGCAGCTCGTATCCCGTACCTGATTTTATTAATCCCTCCGACTATAAATCCTCCGTCACGGGCATTCGGTTTTCTTTTCCAGGTTACGTTAAGTCTGGTGCCAATGACAACATAATATGCGATGGGCAGGTGATTGATGTCCCAAAGGGAAATCTTTTCTCTGCATCATTCCTCCTGTCTAATGACAAAGAGCTTGCAACCGTGTCTAAAAATGTGACCTTCACGTATGAGGACGGTTCGACATCGCTCTACAACCTTCGCACACTGGCGTGGTTCAACCTTCTCACCATCAACCGCGGTGAGATCATTTTCCCAAAGCGCTTCACTAGTACGGCCGTCAACTGGAATACTTCTCACATCTTCGAGCGTACTGCTGCTCTTGATCCTGGGAAAAAGTTGAAGACAATCACTCTCCCAACAACCACAAATACAACAGAAGGCAGAATGCATGTATTTGCGATCTCGCTGCACCAAGGTTCTGAAATTGGTATCCAGTCTGTTCGAGGAACCCAGAAGTGGGCCGACGATGATCAGCAATCTCAGCTTATGGAGGTTACAATAAACAATGCTGGCTCCGAATGTGTTTCTGGAGATGGCATCGTTGTGAAATTGGAGGGCCATGACTTTGAGATGAAACATCCAGGTTCAATAAAGCGACTATGCCCAGGTGACCAAAAGGTTGCAACAATTGCTATCGAACCCTCGTCTTCTTTTCTCGGACAAGTGAGGGACTCTACCGTGAAGGCTACTGTTGAATACAGTGGCAGGGAACAGGTAAAAGTCTTCAAGGGAGTTAAAGTTGGACTCAGAGAGTGGACATCCGACCTCGACAACCTGGCAGAGCATGAAGCGCCAGACTGGTTTAAGGATAATAAATTCGGCATCATGATTCATTGTCAGTATATCCTGGGTTCTTCACATTTTGTCAAGTCACCCAGCTTAAATCGGTCTCAGGGGGTCCTTACTCTGTTCCTGGATGGGGGAACAGCAGCGAGTTTGAAAGCTACTCAGAGTGGTTCTGGTGGTGAGTATACCCATGTGAGCTATACAGAGTATCAACTAAGAAGTCGTTCACAAAGGTACTCAACAAACCCACTGGGTGACCGATCTAATTTCCGCGGATATCGTCTAGAGACCTTTGGCGAAGACTGGGCCTATGACGACTCATTTGAAGCGTTTACTGGAGAGAGATTTGACAGCAAGGAATGGGTAGACCTCTTTGATGACGCAGGGGCTAGGTATTTTGTCATTACAACCAAACACCACGGTCAGTAACACATTTCTTTGAGTTAATGGTGATTCGGTAGCCTATCTGTTTTACTAATATATGAGCTCGCTGATTCTTTGGGCTTATCACTAAATCTTTTGAACGACATAGATGGATTTGCCCTTTGGGACACAAAGGAAACAAGCAACAGATCGGCCTTACACTATGGTCCTCAACGAGACGTTCTCAAGGAACTCTTCGATGCCGCAGCGACCTATCATCCAAACATGAAGCGAGGCACTTATTTCAGTCTCCCCGAATGGTTTAATCCAGATTTTGGCGTCTATGGATTTGATCAGTTCAATAAGACTGAGAACCCGGGAACTGTGAGTTGGCCCGGAGATCTGGCAACTAATCCGTACACAGGGGAGAAGGAGACATACACTGGACACATTCCCGTGGGTGACTTTATACAAGATCTTATGGTCCCACAAATGGAGCAGCTTGCATACGACTACGGCACCGATATAATGTGGTGCGATTGCGGCGCCGCCAATGGAACCGCCGAGTTTGCCGCGAAATGGTTCAACCAAGTGCGCCAACAGAACCGTCACGTAGCTATCAACAGCCGGTGCGGAGTTCCCCAGGCTGCAGACTTTGACACGCCGGAATACCAGACATTTTCCTCGGCTCAACATCACAAATGGGAGAGCAGCCAAGGAATGGACCCTTATAGTTACGGGTATAATCGTGCCACTCCAGAGGAGGCATACATGAATGCCAGCACTATCATCAAAAACCTCGTTGACATGGTCTCCAAGAATGGGAACTTTCTGCTGGATATTGGCCCAAGGGCTGATGGAACCATTGTGGAACAAGCTGCGGACAATCTCAGAGAGGCCGGTAAATGGATAAAGCGTCACCAGGAGGCTATCTTCAACACGACGTACTGGTTTATACAGAGCGAGCTTGAGGGATCGACTGAAGCCAGATTCACACAGACAGATGATGCTTTCTACATTCTCTTTTTGGACAAGCCTATAGCCCAAGGTGGATTTGTTGTTATCCAAGCTCCAATCCCAGTACTGATTGGAGATGACATAACCTTACTTGGTGGAAGCGATGCTGTCTCGCTGGACTATGAGATTTCAGGTGATGGGAGTGAGAAGACTCTAAGAATTAAAATAGGGGAGAAAGAGTTGGAGAGGGAGGAATTCTGTTGGGTTTTCAAGATTCAATATCAGAGATAGGCCAAACCATCTCTAACTGGGCGCAACTTCATATCTTAGGCCGTAGAAAGCACACCCGGAATGATATTGATCATATGGAACTCATGTACGTAAAAGAAATTGAGTATAAAGTTTAACTGTAACGGCAGATGCTAGAGCCCGACATCTCAAGACAACAAATACGAAAGCTTAAAAATAGCCTTTCCTAGCCCATCATCATCATAATACATACGGAAGGAAAAGTTTAGTAACTTATGTATACTAATTCGTGTTTAACTTCACAAACACAAGGTCACAGATGAAATTGAAGCTCTAGAAAGGATATTGCGAGCAGTCGTTGTCTTATTGTAAAATGCATGCGCTATCAAATATGAAGATCAAAGGATTAAGTCATGGCGAGTTCTGTCATCTCTCATCCTCATCTTCAAGCTGATAAATAAGGCCAGACGCCCACTGATGTAAATATAACCTTTTCGTTTCTTTGCCTAATTGATGAAAAGAATTCCCTTGATCTAATCGTAACTATTCCCCAGGTAAAACCTTAAGCAGGAGCGCCACCATTGACCAACAGGTAGTCGACGTTCTGAGACCATGTCTCGGTCAAGAGACTGGTGCTGTCGCTCAGCACGCGGGGACCCATCGAGAAGGTCAGCGGAAGAGACGGAAGGAAGGCAGCCTCGTTATGGCCGGCGACATATACGTCGTTGATGCTCAGAGAAAGCCGAGTGGCGTTGAACTCGAGCTGGAACGTCTTGGGGTTGCCGTCGTACAGGTTGATGCTGTTGGCAGTGATGTCGATGGTCTTGCGCTGACCGTTCACAGCGCTCTCGAGGAAGAGCTGCGAGTTGGAAAATCTGGTGTTGTCCGTGTAGAAGCCGAAGTCGATTTGGCTGTAGAGAGACCCGTCCTCGTTGGGGCCGTTGTTGTACAGGGAAGCGCCCCAGAAGACGCGGGCAGCTGGCTGGGGCGAGAGGGAGAGGGAGAATCTGAAGATGCCCCATGTGAACTGCTGGTTGTTCAGAATGATGCTGCTGTTGGCGTTGCGCGTGTTGGCAGCAAGCTCGAATTTGGCCATATCATTGACCATCCTGGGGCAATTGCCGTATTCGCACCACCATCGTGTCTGGTCGAGTGTAGTGAATTGGTCCTCGAAGAAAATCTCGGTCGCCCGCGTCTCGAGAGTCGAGGAGGAAGAAGGGGCTGCTTGCACGGCTGTGGCCGCCAGGGCCAGTGCAGTAGTCAAGAAGCTGATGATTGCCATGTTGCTGTCGTTATCGTGACGGTCGTGTGAATGAATGAGGGAATGAATGATCTGAAAAAGAATACGAGAGTATTTAGGCAAGGACTCGAGCTCCTTTAGTAGGCCCAGCCCACTCTTAATGCCTGTGAATCATGGGTGCTTGCTTTATGCCAAGAGCAATGAAGAAGACAAAGCTCTCGACATTGATTGACTGCTTGCTAAACTGCTATTCTATTCTGGAATAGCGCCCGGCAAACAAGACTGCCATTGGCCGCTCAAATTCATCTCTGTTTCAGGAGCCGTCAAAGGGTCAGGCACGGACCTTGGTGGAGACCTTGAAATGGGG